TCAATCGCGATTGTGCTAACGCTGTTGCGTCTAAACAGCTGGCATAACGAGCTTGGATCAGAGGTCGTGCTCGGAGGGATCCCGATGTTGACTCAATTAAAGCGGCCTACAATCAGGCTTCCAAGTCCTGTAAGAGGGCTTACATCAGAGCGGATGCCCAGCGCGTCGCACGCATTGGCCATGAGCTAGTTACGCACCCTACGGGCTCCCGTAGCTACTGGCGTCTCGCCAAGGCCGTGCAAAACAATTTCTGCCAGCCCTCGCTGCCACCGCTTCGATGTCCAGATGGAACATTAGCTCACAAGCCGCAGGAGAAAGCCGACCTCTTGGCAAGCCTCTTCGCGGCTAATTCCCAAATCGATGAGTGTAATGCACTGCCACCAACGTTACCTTCTTGTGGCTTCACTATGCCTGATATTCATATCAGGCAGCGTGATGTGCGTGCGGAACTACAGTCACTCGATGTCCGGAAAGCTAGTGGTCCTGATGGCATACCTGCGGTTGTTGTAAAAATGTGTGCAGCGGAGTTGACTCCCGTACTTACGCGCCTATATCAGCTATCTCTTTCTTCGGGTCGTGTACCTGAGGCTTGGAGAGAGGCCATTGTGCAGCCAGTGCCCAAAAAGGGAGATCGGTCAGACCCTGCAAACTACCGCCCTATAGCTATCACCTCTGTGCTGTGTAAAGTTCTGGAAAGGATTATTAACTTCCAACTGATCCGATACCTAGAAGATCACTCCCTTGTAAATGATCGTCAGTATGGCTTTAGACCAAAACGATCAACGGGTGATCTTCTAGCGCACGTCATGCACCTCTGGGGTGAAGCTATAGACAAGCGCGGCGAGTTCTTGGCTGTCAGTCTTGACATTGCTAAGGCATTTGACAGGGTTTGGCACAAGGGACTTCTCTCCAAGCTTCCGGCCTACGGTCTGCCCGTTCAACTCTGCGCCTGGATAGCCGACTTCCTGCGTGAGCGTAAAATCCGTGTTCTTTCTGACGGATGCTTTTCACAGCTTATGACAGTCAATTCCGGTGTGCCTCAGGGCTCCGTTCTATCCCCTACACTTTTTCTGCTGCATATCAATGACATGCTTCCACTTGGAAATATCCATTGCTATGCAGACGATAGCACAGTGCATGTGGGGTATCACGGGGCTCCTACGGTCAGACGGGCGGAAATCCTGGAAAAAAGAGAGAATCTTGTCATTGAGCTCAATCACGTTCTAGATCTCATATCGAAATGGGGTGCTGAAAATCTGGTTGAGTTCAATGCCAAGAAAACTCAGGTTTGCGTATTTACCGCCAAGACCCCTCCATTCCCTTCCCTTCCCTCTCTTCAGGGCACAACCTTGCCTCTACAGAGCAGCATCAACATGCTCGGGATGAAGTGCGCTGTGATCTGAATCCAAAAAACCACATCGAGTCTGTTATTAAAACAGCATCACGTAAACTCGGTGTCCTGAACAAGGTGCGGCGTTTTTTCACGCCCGAACAACTGTGCCTGCTATACAAAACGCAGGTCCGGTCATGCGTGGAGTATTGCTCGCACCTTTGGGATGGCTCCGCTAGGCACTTACTCGATGCTTTGGATAGATTGCAGCGCCGCGCAGTACGCATTATTGGCAATGGCGAAGTCACCAAGAACCTAGAAAGCCTGCAACTGCGCCGAGACGTTGCTTCGCTCAGCGTCTTCTACCGTCTCTACCATGGTGAATGCTCTGAAGAACTCTTTTCTCTTATCCCCCCATCTCCCTTCCTCCTCAGGACCACACGTGCTGGTTTGCGTTGCCACCAACTAACTGTGGCAACGATTCCTTCGCGTACAAAGAAATTTGGCGACTCATTTCTTTGTCGAACTTCCAAAAAATGGAATTGTCTCCCGGCCCATGTATTCCCTCCTTCCTATGACACTAGCTACTGTTTTCACTAGCTGTCCTCGCGTTTGGACTGCGCCTCCGCTTACCATCAGGTGGAGCGCAGTCATTTGCCCTCTATTTTATAAAAAAAAAAAGCTGAATGTGCTTTCCGGAGTATAGAGCAGCTCGAGATAACAATAACATATTTTGGTCACTAAAAAGTTTATAAATAAAATAAAAAATCGTATCGTATAAAAATAAAATTGATTTGACTATTATTGTTTGTAATGCATAAACTATAAACACATATTGACGTCATTATATTCAGATAAAAAATTACCTATGCACAGTGGGTCAAATTCATCAAGATAGATAAATTATCGTCAACGAATATCGTGACAAAGGATTTTCATATACATATTCTTGAGTGACATACTGTTTCCTGATATGCGTTGTGTCGCTTTCGTGAGATGTAGTTAATTTTATAAATCATAGATAATTTGATGAGCTAACGTTAATTAGCAGAATTGACTCGAATCGAAAACTGATTGATAGTAATGTTCATGTAATAAATAAGCTTTGGTATATAGATTTTAGAGGCTTCGACTATGATGTTATTCATTTTTATTTTGACAATTATTCATCTAGACCCTATTTTTTTAAAGATCTAGCAATTCATGCGGTTAACCATGTGTATAAATATTTTCTTTTTGACAATTTTCATTTAACATATCACTGCATTAACGCACAAATTAAATTTATTATACATCAGAGTTATATATCGTACTTGCCGTAATAATAAGTATAAGGCCTACAAGAACTTGATTTTAAAGATATTTAAAATAGAATGCTATATTTCTAAAGAATGTTTAAATAATTCTATGGATTATATATATATATTTATACTCTTTACGTCGCCAGAGTTTACTACATATTTTAGAAGTTAACAACAATTTCAAAAATGACTTTGAACGGTAACATAGTAGTACTAGTGATGTTTTTTTTTGTAAAATAGATAACGACTTTGGTTTTAAAACACCATTAATTAAAATAAATGTGTTACCTAATTACAATTTGAAATTATGTAATAAAGTTAAAACGATTATGTTCAGTTTTGATTAATATTTATAGGTTCCTGGAATTCTTGATAAACAGCAGAATCCAACTTATCAGTTTTACATTTACTCAGTTCTTCTCTTATTATTGTAGCAGCAATGAAATTTCTTATATTTGAGTTTCGATTCAACAAAGCGACTTATTAGAAAGTGGACCTCCTCCCGTAAATTTTTGTTATTATTATCAATATATTATGTAATTAAAACTGAAGAATACAGTCTATTTTGTGTAATGCATTTAGTTGCAAGTTGGATTTGCATAGAGTGGTTTCTTTGCCTCTTTCAATGCGACGTGAATTAAGTCTATGATGTTATTAATTAAAAAATAAAGAATATAATAATATTTTTCTGCCGTATTATTTTTATAGCTTTTAGGGTTGGCACAAACTTACTTTAACAATAACAAACATGTTGAAGTTACGGTTAAGCAAATTTAGAGTTGCACCATTTGGCAATTAATGAATGGATGGAATAGATGACGTCATAACTTTTAACTATGACCTTCCAAGTTTTGCTGGTTAACATTATTGTTTTATTGCCAAGAAAGAGGATGGTGCAACGCATTCCGCGGTTAATGTTAAAGTAAGCTTGATATTTATTGTCAAATTTGACATAAATCTAAATTATTATATTTGATCAATATTGCATTCACAATGCTATACTGGAAAATATTCTTAATGAAAATCGCTTAAACAATCTATTTTGCTCTCGGTACTATGAGATGGAATCTCAGTCAGACAAAGTCGTTTTTTAAGCATATTTCATTAAGAATATAAATCTTAATTTTAATTTCTCTTATGGTGTAATCAAGTTTTAAATTTTTATAAGTGTCTGTGTTGTTGTTTCTAGTCAGTTTCTAGCCGGTACGTAGACAGACCAGACAGACTGTACGTAGACGTAACAGTCGACATCAAAATAGTTTAAAAATGAATTCTCTAATACTTTTTATTAAGGAAATCTCAAAAGTTTAATAAATAGGAGAAATATTATTCAGTGAAAGATGCGCAACGGAACAATAACAAAAGAATGTGTCTGGATCATGTTCGCGTGTTGCCTTACTGACTAATTAATTCCCTGAGGCTGTTCCGACAGTATATTGTACCAGAGAAAACCGTGGCAGAGATTAGTGGAGACGTAATGATATTAGATTTCATATAGATGATAGATGTTAAGCAGAATTTGTATTTTATATAATTACTACAATGTTTTTTTCTGATGATTAAAAATAATATATTTTCACTTAATATTTTACCATATGTGATGGAAATCCTCAAAATTATATTTATTATATGCATATATTTGACCGCAAAAGATAAAATCAAAGATATTATTTCTTGTTATAATTTGAAATATGTATGTATTCAGCTTTTAATTTAGTAAAACATTGAAAGATGTGACGGCTCTGTATGAATATTCTTACTCTATGTGATTTTTTTATTTGTATGTAGTGGTAATATTTGAATATCTAATATGTGTGGCGTTGTCCGTCTGTTATATCACAGATATTATAATACTATATTGTAATTTTTGTTTAGAATGTACCGGTACAGTGAGGTCCAGATGTTCAATTTGTTCAACCGACAGAAATTTAATTTTCTATTACCATAATTTTTTGCAATGTATGTTTTGATTAACATTTTTAAACGATAATAATTATATCATCACGATTTTGGCACCCCCCTTGAAACTGACGCTCGGGGCTAATGCCCCCACTCGCCCTCCTCCTAAATGCGGCCCTGGATACAGAACGACATGTCACGATATAAAGTACAGTAACATTTCTTCAATTTATTTTAACCCTTAAATTATCAACTTAAAACTTTTCCATACAATTTGTACTGAAACACAAATGTACCATTTAGTTACTTTTGTTTTGTATCGTAAAGGGAATGCTCTATGCTCCACGCGGATGAGAATCCGAGGGCAAGTCAAAACGCGGATGGATACCTACACTTTTGGGGGAAGGAACTGAACTACCAGCAACCTAACCTCCGACCGATTACTTACAAAGTTCCTTGAAAAATCTTACCTGAAATAGTCCATAGCTGGCATATGAGTTGCTGTGGTTGGTCACCTTGTCTGTAGTTCTACCGCTGGTGTGTTCAATTAAACAAACCCCTGTATTACAAAAGTACATGGTTAAAATTGTACTCTGGATAGTTCTCAACTATTATAGACCACATTAACTAAACGTATCTGTGGATGGTCGCTCTGGGAATATAAAGGTTAAAAAGCAAGTTGGATATGTGCACCGCGGGTTCCGTTAAAATAATAAATTTTAAAACTATAGACTTCGTATAGGTTTTCCCGTAATCTATAAATACTATTTTATTTTTTTTGGCCCAGCAGCTACGGAGATCAGGGCAGGGATAATGGATAATTTCTTATTCTTTTTAATAACTTCTAAACTATTTATCTGGAATAAAAATCCTGCCAAAACGCTTTTCGTTTTATATCGCTCACAAAAGAGTTTTATAAACTTTTTTTTATTTCCCAATTGAAATATGAAACCCTATAAATTAATATAGCATACCTCCAAATCCTTAAATATTACTTTAGAATAAATAAATTGTTTAATTTAAATTGCAAAAAAGTTAATCCTCATTTTGGATTCCAAGAGGTGGTAGTTTATAAAGCTTCACGGGAAAGCTTCGGCTGTTTATCTAAATGTAAATCCCGTTTTATAAAAAAAGAAGAAAAAATAAATCGCAATCCGTCGTGTACCTAACCAAATTAAATTCACCAACCAAATTCTTAATTCAAATAATAACATTACAGGCAAGGCACACCAAATGGATTGCTCGCCGACCTTAATAAGCATTCCCACGAAACTCGTCTGAATCTCTAATTTGCATAAAAAGGGGGCATCATTCAAATGACAAAACATTTCTGGATCCCCTTTCATTTAAGTTTAAAATTGTTGGAGCTGTTTTAATTGACACTGTACAAGGGCGGAAGAAGGCAAAGGAAGCGGGCAATGTCTTAATCTGAATTCATTCAAATCGTAACGACGACAGTGACTCCTTTAAATCACCTTAGAAATTACCAGTAATTGATCAAGTAAAGCGTAATTGAGTTGAAAAGTGTGAACGAGGTACTTGAAAAATTAAAGAACGATGAACAGTTGTGCTATTGAATCAAATAAAACCTGTATTACTCTCATCATCATCATCAGCCCTTTTACGTCCCCATTGCAGGGCCTCAGGCCTTCCTTACGGATGGTGAAGGAGGATGGGTTAAAATCCTCCACGCTGGCTCAATGCAGATTGGAGGGTATTAACGACCGCAAATGCAGCCGGGACTAACGGCTTAACGTGCCTTCCAAAGAACGGAGTAGCTCGAGATAATAATTTTTTGGTCACTCATCCCGTGACCGACCCTTGCGAAAGTTTCTTAACAACAACGATCGCGGGCCACGACGCCTATCCCCTACTCTACTAGCTGTTTACCCGCGACTTCACACACGTAAATTACAACCTATGTCAACCCCGTGTGACGTAGCTTCCGGTAGGTGAAAGAATTTTTAAAATGCTCCAGTAGTTTTGGAGCTTATTCGATGCAAACAAATATACGAAAAAGATGCAAACAAACAAACAATCACATCTTTTCGCTTTATAATATTAGTATAGATGAGGTAGGTATTATTTGATTGAACTACTAAATTGTGACAGTTACAAGATGGTATTTTAATATTATATTCTAGTCTAGTGGGAATATAATTTTATAGTCGCAATGAAGGATCACATAATGGTATGATCTTATTATTTTGTAATTGTAAGAGTGCGTCGTACCACAACGTTTATTTTTCCTAGGTTTCCGCATCTAAACTTTTTGTCTTTGATCTTTAACATCCTTTATTAGAAAATTTTCTTATTTTGAAATTTTGAGCATCGCAATATGCTCTTTCTGAATGTCAGTTCGTAAAAAAAAAACACGATCATCATTGAAAATCAATTGAAAATGTTTAGTATGTACATTTAAAATCTATGCTGTAATTAACAAGTTGTATTTATGAACTGTATGTTTATAAATTTGCATCGTATCTTCTAGATTAAACTAAAAAAGGGTATTTGATTTAGATTGAAATATATGAACCTATCAAGTCTAGTCAGCTGTTTCATTCCCGTCACTCCATTAGTTATATTACATTTAATTTTTATTTAGAAGCAGTGGGTAACATCTAGTATTTCTCATCATCATTACCAGCCTATTAACGTCCCACTGTTGGGGCACAGGCTTTCCCTATGGATGGAATAGAATCGAATAGGGAGAAGGAGCGCCATTGTGCATAGCGTGTTTGGTCTGCGACTTCCATTTGTAAGGGCCGGTCATAGGATGACTAACCACAAATGTATTATCTCGAAGCTCGAATGCTTCATAAGTTATATATTTATGTTTACTACAATATAATGTATTTGTGTTAATTCTTCTTATTCTTAAGAATTATTCTTATGTTATCTTAGTTATACACAGAATTGAAGATGTTATTTCACAGAATAAAAACTTAATTTAGTCTAGTTTGTCCAAAACAATTCCTACTAATTAGTTGATCGTCTACCAAATTGATATTAAATAAATTGTCTGTGTTAAGTTTCCGTGATAGAAGTTTTTAAAAGTTATATTGTGTCCAACTGTAAGATATATTGCGTCCTCAATTAAAGTCCAGATAGCTAAAAACCCTAAATCGATAAATATTTGAATTGTAGTTATGTTTTATTTTTTGTTAATGTAACTGGATTATTGTAACCAATAAACAAAATAATGATTTATTTATTTCGCAGCTAAATTGCGTCACTACGTAGTACATGTTGACATATAGGTATGATACTCGTATAGTCACGTCGCGGTCGGAGAGCTCACGATATTATTTTATTAAGTTTCATAGGATAACAACATCTGAACCTAATAAATCAAAATCTTCAGATCCTCGGACACAAATTGATAGACTCTATATTAAAAAAAAATATATACCAGTCAAGTGCGAGTCGCATTCGTGTAGGAAGGGTTCCGTACCGGAAACGAGTAGAATATCACATTTTTTGTATGGGGTCCCCTTAGATATTTATATTATTCTGTTTTTTTTTAGTATTTGTTGTTATAGCGGCAACAGAAACATCCGTGAAAATGTCTAACTATCACGGTTCATGAGATGCAGCCTGGTTACAGACGAACGAACGGACAGCGAAGTCTTAGTAATAAGGTCCTGTTTTACCCTATATCATTTATCCTTCGCGTTGAGCTAGATTTGTGACAACACGCAATTTAAAAAAATGAATTTCACCAAGCTTGAAGGAGTAAAAGGATTATCTGTATTAATATTATGAAGGGGAAAGACTTGACTGTTTGTTTACACTTAATAGGCTCCGAAAATACTGGACCAATTTAAAAATAATCTCTCACCTATGGGTAGCTGCATCATACTATAATTTACGTGTGTAAAGCCGCGGGAAAAGAGTTAGTATTATATATCTACACCAATGTATTATACATCTACTTCAATATTATAAAGAGGAAACATGTGTTTATTGAGTTCTTATATTTTCATGCACACTATACATAAATAAAACAACTTTTTAATGGTTTAATTCCGTTTGTATTTAGTTTTATTGACGTTTCCGACCACAGAACATAGAGAGAGATTAGAAGTAGTAGTGGGCGGGACACGCGTCGCTGGCATATGCGCTTTTACTCATATGACGCCCTTTCCTCGGTTTTACGTTCGTCAGTCGTTCGTCAATCGTCGAGTGGTGATTTTACAGATTTTTTATATAAAAAATGCCGTTTTGTGCTATCATCACTTGTAAAAAGCAAAGGAAAGTATACAATCTAACTAATGCAAACATTTCCTTTCACTGGTAAGTACAATTTTAGTGCTAAAATATAAAAAAACGTAGTAATTTGAGACAATGTTAAATAAAATATACATTGATTGCTCAAACCAACATCAATGTTTCTGACCCCATTACTAAACAGCAATGTAAATCATTTTGTGCACTTTTGCAAATAATAGGCTGTGACTCCATTTGTCTGAAATGTACCGATAGGCTGCTGCTGCTCGGAATCGTATTGTTAATTTTATGGATCGTAATCGATAACTAAAACCATATTTATTTAGAGCTTTTCTTTCATCATTTCATAACAACGTTATCGATAAGTATATGCCATAATTATATAAAACTAAATAATACTGTTTACAAGGGAAAATTATAGATGAATTTTGGTCTTTGGTTCCCCGCTAATCAAACTTAGGTTAAAGCTAAAAATCGGCAGTTTGCTTTTCAAGCAAACATATTGCCGAGCTTTTGCCCTTTTTGCATCGTCCCGGCATACATGTGATCCTGTGTGTGTTTAATCGCTTGTTTAATTTAATTTCTTTATATTTATTTTGTTTTTATATTTTATGTCAGTGTGTATTAGCATGTTGTGCTGTGATTATTGCAAATAAAATTATCATTCATTCATTCATTCAATTTCATTGAACTGTTTCATAACAAAATTTAAAGCTCTTATTTTATCAACTAATATGTTACATCACTAATATGCACAATCGGAATGATACCAGTAAGAAAAAATTACAAATTAGGCTTAATGTAATTAATACAAAAGTTCTGTTGTTTTCTTAATTTTTGTTTTTTTTTTTACACTTTCCCTCGCTTAATTATATTACTCCACAGACATACGATAGAGTTTATCATTAAGTTTTCTTAGTTTTTGTACTGAGTTTTTTAAAAGTTATTTTAATAAATTATATAGGGAAAAGCCTTAATTTTTCGTATTCACTTGGTTACAGCAAAATCTAATCTTAATAGTTCGCACATAAAATGATGTCCGCAATTTTTTTAAATGTGCATAATCTTAAAATATTTTTTCCCTTCTGGTATCCCCGTATACAGCTACGTGACAGTTCAACATTCATGTTAAAGTAAATTATTTATTATCACGTTGACTTAGAGTTTGTTTTTAACCGTGTGATTTCTTAGCTTAGTATCTTTTTGGGATTTGGTTTATGTTATCGCGAACGTATCGCGTGGCGGTTTTTCATGTAGTGAACAAAATGATCATTTCATCTAATCTGTATTTGTGTGCGGAGAGGCGACACTCGGTTACCATGCTAAATTAATATCATTATACTTCTATCTATCTCTATGTTCTGTTCTGTGGTTCCGACCCTTTGCAGCTTCTGTGTTCACATAAGACTAAGGTGTTGATTGTCTTTTTAATTAAGTAAAGCTAACCTTAAAAACAATACTATTGGACACATTTACCATACAAAAAAAATGAAAACGTTTACATTTATTAAATTATTTTTTCAAAAATTCATTTGATTTATTTATAGCGAGACAACAAAAAGGAAGTTTTTTTTATATAATGTTGGCATAACTTGTTTACGACGCATTCAATACTCAAATTACGGGTACAATCTGCATGCGGTAAATTATCAAATAGGCATACGTTTCTCTGATATCTTCAATATATTTTGGTCAATTTTAAGTAGATTATTGATTAATAAACCAATACTTTACATACGAATTACTAGAGTTATTTATATATACCGTATGAAACACCATTTGGTGCTTGTTATTGCATCAAACAAACAGAAATCCTCGCTTCGCATTGGTTTAGTACTGGTAATATGTAGATATCGACTCGTATGTAAAAGCTAGTGGATTATACTATAAATTAGAAAATAATGTCAGAGGGTTCAAGACACTTTTATTATTTTACGCTAGTCGCCAGTTTAAACAGAAGATGCAGTACAGCTTTATGTAATAGACTAAAAACACAAAAAAAAAAAAAAATTAAAAGAGGTTGCTTTCGATAAAAATATTTGTACCCGTTTAATACTGTCGTGATTTTTTTTATTTTAGTATCAAAACAATTCCAGATTGCATCTAAATTTGTATTGTATATAGCTCGTTACGGTGTGCCATCGGCATAAGTCATACGGAATTCATGCTAACCAGCATGGCTTATAGCAAACGTGCACTTAATGCATTCTAACGAACACTGACTCCCAAAGGACTTAACTAAGAAACATGAGTCTTGAAGCTAAATGAACATTAGGCACATTCTACTATTGAGGCCATCTAAATTTTACAATAAACATATAATATTTATGCTAATTAAATAAATATGAAGACGAGAAAAATGGAAAAATGAAAATTATAATTAAATTCCTCGTAAAGAGTTGTTGTGAAACAAGTATCTCAGTAATACTTAAGTTATTAATTTTGTTTGTCGGTTTAATTTCTTGTTGTTTATAATTGTTTGTTTCGTGACAGACAACAACGTTCGCTGTCTGAAATTCTTATAAAGATAAATTAAATGAATAAGATCAAACACAAGGTAGTATCAATTTGTAATATTTGATTTTGATACCTTTAGGTTTGGTTTTTTTTTTAAATGTTATGTAATTGAAGCATATCCTTTTCACTCATAATTATATAGTATTATAGAATCATAGAAATCGGTCAACTCTGAAAGAACTATGTAATGAACCACTTGAGAACTTTCTTTTATTATCGGTAACATAATATTAGTACATATTAAGCGTATTTTAATGGCAGAAGTGTTTCCTTTTTTCAGCAACACGCGAAGCTTCATGATCGTCTTTTATGTGAGTAGCTCTGGCACGTCATCGTTTTGTAAAGTGACATAAGACCAACCGGTGGTTGCTTATTCATGCAGTGATGTAAGGAGTTACAGGAACGAAATAGGGTTTATGTTCCCGAAGTAAATGGGTTAAGGTCTCTTTGGTAGTGTCACAGCATAGTATTGATATTAATATTCTAATTGCATTTATATACTTCTAACCATTCGATATTAGAGATTTGTTTTTAAGTATAATACTGTTTTTAATTTATTTTTGATTTATAGATTAAGTTTTTGACAGGACACTTCTATCAAGATGGTTCGATGAGACAACATTAGGATATTTAGATATTGTAACACTGTTTGTATACAAATGCAAATTGCTTAATTTATAAATATGCAATACCTAAGTAATGTAAAGAATACCTAAAATACACAAACATTGAATGAATTATTATTAATTATGTAATTCGCTGTAAAATACTACATAACTTATATGAATTCCATGTGGATTTTATAACAGTATGTTGATTCAAGTAGGTTAGTTCTTTAATTTGCTATAATTAGGATACTGGCATATAACAAATGTAAATTATTTCCTCGAAATCAATAACTGATTAATTACATTCCAAACTACGAGTATATAATATATTACATGACAAAGATAAACATCCCATGATAATTAGCTTTTCAACGCTTCCATTGCGTTAATTATATTAAAGCAACGGTCGACTAATGATTAATTTATATGTGTAAATCCATCAATTACTATGATGTGTACACAGCTGAGTGGCATACGATAAATCGTGAGCAAATATTATTGAATTGATACAATTCAATGTATGTTTTAGTATGTGTTCAAAGCTACAGTTTTGTGTTAATTTTGTCTTGCCAGTGGGTATTCAACTATGGAAGGGAGACAGCAACTGTAACGGAAAAATGGACCACAAAATTACACTTGCCATGAAACGTGCTTTGCTTAGTATATTACTGTTAATCGAAAGGACAACGTTTGAATCCGTGGGAAAAGTGGACAAGAATATACGGTGACAGAAGTACAGATCAGCGGAACACGTGGCAAGAATGACTCAGGAAATGTGGACAAGGAGATCGATAGAGTGATTGTGGAGAGACCCATGAGGGTTGACGATGCTAAACGCGGAGCCCGTTATAATTTGAATGAAAGTAGCAAAGAGTATCAGGAATAGATGGAGTTATCTGAAGGCCTATATCCGCCGTTTAATTTACAAATTTCAAACTTGCGATAATAATGAAAATTTGTTCTTCTATTTCTTTCTGCTGTTTGGGTGGATTGCCTGAACATTGATGAAAATACGCTCTGTAGTAGCGAAAAAGTAACAAGTACTTGAAAAATTAGGGCGACCAAAAATTTTTTTTCTCGACTAAATGCGTTCTTCTGAGGGCTCGTCAAGCCGTTGGTCCCGGTTGCATCTGCAGTTGCTAATACCAAACAATCCGCACTGGACTTGTGTTTTATGACTCGTTCTGCCAACTTGATGTGATTTCATTTCATAATTAGGGAAGGCCCGTGCCCTAGCAGTGGGGCTATTTATAGGCTGATGATGTGGGAAAATAGGAAGCTGTATTATTCTAATACTTTGTGTCATACAATTTCTTGATAGTTAAATAAATTACCTATCAGATTTCCATATGACTGTTATTTAGATAGATTATTTTAAAAGCCATTCTGCAAAGCATTTTGAAAAACCTATAGTCAGTTGCACAAACATTGTTTAGGCTTAATGACACCTTTAATATCTAATGAATGTCAAATTTGTATGGGTTATTTAATTTAATGTCTCTTTAATAATGAGAATTTTGATGGACGTTTGTACAACTGGCTGTTAGCCTTTTAGTAATACTTACAATTAGGTATGAGACTTCTGGGGAAGTTGTATCTTAGTAATTCCCTGGACAACTGGCATCTAGTGAAAGTCCTTGCGTGACCTTGGCAGCTATGTAGTAGGGAGATGGCGATCATAAGCGGAAGAAGCGTAGAGGTTCGGAACATCTTGCCTAAAATGAGAATTAACCCTTAGACACTCAATTGATTAAAGGGAAAGCCCCGTAAAAACTGATCGGGCGTTAATGCTAGCTAGGAAGTTTATTGATTATTATTACATTATAAAATACAGTACCAAAAGAGATAACAACTGACCCCGGAAAGTTCGTATCACCTTTGAGTTTTCGATAATGACAGTATTTATAACTATTGTTTTTTTATAAAGACGAATCATATTTGGAAAGTTCTTCTGTAATTTACGTTGATATGGTTAAAGATGATGTTACAACCCTAATGGACACTATGAATACTAATTTTCGATATATTGTCTCTTCCCTCTTTGTCTTGAATTTTATTGTACCTGTTCTACTCCATGGCATTAAAAATACGTAAATTAAACCAAAGGGCCGTCTTTGTCTGTCCTTAAATGAAATTATGGAAAATTTCGAAACGTCATCATATCCGTGAATCAGGGTGTCAAATCATTCCGCTGTTTCATCATGACTTATCGTAAGACGCGTTTATTTGGAGTCGTAGTTCCGTTTCAAAAATAGAATTTCGAAATAAAATTTCGTTCAGAGAAACACAGCTGACCTTCAGGATAGACGACAAAAGAGTCCACGATTATCAAATTATAATTTAAGGAGTAAAGAATATTAAAATTGCTTCTAAGTTATTAGTTTTAGAAAAAGTAATTTAATTTGAAATGAGCTAAGCAAACTTGCAAGTGGATCGAGGATTTGCTGGACTTATTGACAGTAAAAAAAATCGTCTAGGGATTTAAATACTTTTTTCGCCTCCAACAAATTTTGATGGCTATACAAGATATCAAACAATTGACTATTTTGTGTGATAAAAAAAATGGTTGTTTTTTTAAGAGTATGTATATTAAAAGTACGATATGGGCTACTTGTATGACAAATAAAACGTAACCAAGTTTTGGCAAGTCATCTTCTGATGTTTCAAACTAGGTAACAAAACCTACAGAAATTAATAAGTTAACCAAAGGTTTCAGAGAAGTCGGCAATTTTGTATGAATAGAGTATCTCAAAAGTCACCGTTGGAGACATCGTTTTAATTACCCAAAGTTTTGTGTTAAGCTACGATGTTTCACTTTATAATGGAATATTCCCTAACTTATACAAGAGCATTTATATTAGGATGAGTCAGGCGCGTTTCGTGCTCATTTAGGCTGGTTTTACAGTGACGCGTTTGCTAGCGCGGTTGGTAAGCGTCGCGGTTCACGAGCTTTGACTGCCTTAGATCGTTACATAGTAAAATAAACCGTGCGGACGGTGTTTGGGCCGCGCTTGTTAACCGCGCGCGGGCAAGGAGCCACTATTTGCCAGTACGCGTTTCACAGTCATGCAGATTGGACGCGCGCACACACTCGAACACGTACGTACAAGTCTCATTGTGACTGTACGAGGTGGCAAACCGAGTGGCACTGAACTCGTTTTATAGATTCGAGCGGGTTATCCACGTGCTTGCGAGCCGCGCTTACTACCCGCGCGGACAGTACGCGTGACTGTAAAACCAGTCTTAGGCAGAGAAAATCAAACGCCACGAGACAGTTCATACATATGTTTTTCGCTTTCTTGACATTCTTTTCATATATGATGTTCTTAAGTTTTTATGTCCTTTTCGTCTATTTATACTAATATTATAAACAGAAAAGATTTGATTGTTTGTCTATTTGTTTGCAACGAATAGGCTGCGAAACTACTGGATCGATTTTAAAAATTCTTTCACCTACGGTAAGCTCTATCGTATGTGGTGAATTAAGATATGTTTTATCTCTAAACATTGCAAATATAAGAATGAAAATGGGAGTAGAAGTTTGTATGGGGAATTAAAACGTTGCCATAGTAGCCATTGTTTACTATCCAATTTGTCTTTGTAATTATATCCTGCGTCATATATATAGTAATGTCATATATGATTGGATATCCAAATAAATAATTCCACCACGTGGGTGAAGTCGCTGGCGGAAAGATAGTGTTAGTGATATAATAAATAGAAAAATATAGAAGTGTCTTTGTAGTAAAGCCAATAATTTCATCTGATTTTCTCGTGTAATAATTATATACTTTTAAAAAAGTCACCCAATGTTGAGTGTAGAGCTCTTTCATGATGATCAACTCTGAATGGTTGCGTCCCGAATCGTCTGTTCACGTTTGGTCGGTGCATAACTGATGGAAGATGAAGAGACGTCGCGCCTATTCTCACGCGGAACTTCATAACTGTCAAATATATGATATCATATTCTAACATGCACAATTGACGGATGATTCGTTGAGGACTAACTTTTGTGACAAACTTAGCGGATCTTCCGTCGGATTTGCACCGACCGGGTCCTATGGTCGACTTTATAGTCAGGCTGCAAGTGTGCAAATTCTCCAATTTTAACCTTAATCTGTTGTTAGTTAAGTTCAAAATTAATAATAGAAATTTGACATTTAGTAATCTTATATGATTTGTCTATGTAAGCGGCATGTTTTAATATGCCTACATTATTCTTAAGAGAAAGCTCCTCGTGAATATCCGATTGTATTATAGTACAATTACGACTTTATTATTAAAATGAAGCAACATTAGACTCGCAAAAGAAAATTGTTCACTAACGATTATTGATTGAGTTGGTGAAACTATGAGGGTTGGTCGTTTTACTTTTGATTAGATTTTTATACTGCGTGAAAACTGTTATGCAGAAAAATGGTAAACTTTCGCTTAATCAAATGATGAGCAAGACAATGTCTATTATAAAGCCAATATGAAGCATACATGAGAGAATAGGAGAGTAGGAAGTGCTTGTTAGTCTATTTTAGATTTATTGAAGCTGTTTGGAGAAATTCTGCCTATTACAATGACAAAATTTGTGTAATATGCCTCTATAGAAATTATTGTATGTACAAAGAAATAGTTGTCTGCTTCAGGTTGAGCAGATATTTATTTCACAAGGTTTCTGTACCTGATAGTTTTGCCTTTAAATAATTGGATTATGTAATATTAACTGTTTGACTAGTGTCAGTCGCTTGAAAAAGGTGCTTGCGGCACACTTCCTAACCACATACCTATTCTATTATCAGGTACTTGTTATTAGAATATCGATATGATCGTTAATTACGATTTATGAGTGAAGTAAAGAAAATAGATAAAGAAAGAAAAGAGTATGTAGGAGGGAGTTTGAAAGTGGCATCAATGACAGAAAAAGTGAAAGGAAAGTGTTTGGCCTGGTACGCACATATTATGGGAAGGGATGAAATGAATGTAAATAAGAGGGTGACGGAGATGAATGTCGATCGATGGAGAGTAAGAGGACGATCATAGAAAAGATGGTTGGACTGTGTGAGCCATGATATGAAAGTGAGTGACAGCTCATAGAGAAGAGTGGAAGAAGAGAACATACTGTACCGATCCCACATACACTGAAACAGGAAAGATGATGATGATAATTGTTAATCTTGATTGAATTATGTAAAGGTACTAGTTGTGAATATTCTTCGTGTAAAATAAAGCCGTAACATTACTTGTGTATGATGAAATTTCTCGTAGGTGAAAGAAAATCGGTCTAGTAGTTCCAGATTCTATTCAATGCAAACATATGTTTATACAAAGAAAGATCTGTTTTTTCTTTAAAATATTGGCATAGATTTAAATTAGGTACCTGGTAAGTATGTGGACATCAGCGCAACCGCAGTATTCTAGTCTCGCGCGAGGACTGCGTAATGCGTATCAATTTTATTTAAACGCAACTTGCTATGTATCCGATTGCATTTTTATGTCAACCATAATTTTTGCTGTTGCCGGACATCAAATAAAATATTATCAATTCAGATAATAAAAATATACTTTATACTCTTCTTATATAAAATACGGTAATTACTAATCTCGTCGTATTGTAACATCACTACATAGTATAAAACAAAGTCGCTTTCTCTGTCCCTATATTCCTATGTATGCTTAAATCTTTAAAACTACGCAACGGATTTTGATGCGGTTTTTTCATAGATAGGGTGATTCAAAAGTAAGGTTTTTATGTATAATACAAGGCCACGCGGGCGAAGCCGCTGGCGGAAAGCTAGTCTATAATAAAGTATAAATTTTCGCAAATTGTTTTTCCTTATTTATTACAAACACGTTCTCTAGTACTATAACCATCTAAAAGAATCTAGTTTTTATAAGCTCAAGTCACTATCTATTAAGGATCGTTGTACTCCTGATCACGTAGAAAACGTTCAGCTAACATTTGGTGAAAAACTACGTCAGTAGATGGAATCACTTTAAGACCCCTACCATGAGTTTGTTTTTCAGTTGCTTACGGTTTCTTTAAAAAAAAAGACAGATTTTTTTTAAACTCTGATATAGCAGCTACTTACAATGAATGAAATTTCTTTATAAGATTTTTTATTAATATTGGTATTTAAATTGTTATTGTTAGTAACTAATTGGTAAACTTCAGTCAAGTTTAGGTCACTATGAATTTACGAAAAGAAAACTAAATACAATAACTTATTCGACTACGACACATATATAGCTATGCAGTATTGTGATTGCAAATCGGTCATAAATAAAAAAAAATGTGTATTTAGATTCCGTTTCGATAGTTCTTTTTAGATTACTTAGGAAGTATTTGTAGAAATATTATTTCAGAATATATATCTTGCCCATTAATTTAGGATGAATGGTAAAAAAATAATAAAAATAAACGATTCATCGTTTACAAAATTTCAACTGATCTCGCATAGATTACTGGAGAGTGTGAAAAAGATATTGGGATATCATTTATTTAGCACACTGGCACACTCATAGTAGAGGTGTTAGCTCTCTAGCCGAACCATCGATATTGAAAGCTATAGTATAAAAACCTTATTTTCTATCTCGTCAATGATTTATATTGCTACATTAGAGGCACATCTTAGTGATTTATAAGATTAAAACAGTACGTGTGTGTATGTGTCAAACACATAGAAGATATAGCTAATTTATTCTACTTTTTTGCAAACGATGCAAACCGTTTGAAAAATCTGTTTGCCATATCATTTAGTACGAAAGTAGGGATAAAAAAAAACCTTGTGTATATTGCATGCACATTTGATTTAACGTGTAATTAAATTATTAAAAACTGACCGGCTTGGACTGAACTATAACAGATCACCGTAAGTAGGTATATTTATGCTAAACATATTTCTTTTACACTAGTTGGCTGTTCAATCGGACGGCTAATAATTTAATTGAGTGGCGATATTCAATCATAGGGTTAAACGTAGATCAGATGAGTAATCTAAAACTACGTTTTACCGTACGTCTGTAAAAGCCTAGCCAACTAATTAATTATCAACGATTACGAGACGAGATATAAGTATTAAATATATTCATATCAACTTCAAAACGAATTATTTAGATTCAAAAACAAAACGTCCATGATATTAAAATAAAACCTCGATTTCAATATCCAATTTCATAATCGTGCAATTTTTCTCAAAAATCCATTTTTTTGTAAGTGGCTTTGTCTTCTTTCAGGATAATATAACTCGGAATGGTCAAAATTGCAAACCGCTCTTGATAAAAATTTCTAACAAATATAATGTTCTAAACTTGAAAAGTGTAATCAGTGCCGCGGTAGCGTATTACATATATTTCATAATGATTCAACTAGAAAATTATTCATAAAATTGAATGGAACCATTCAATCAACTATTTGGCTGTGACTTAGGTAAGGATATATGATAATAATATTATTATTTTCATAAATTTAAAAATGCGTGGTTACCCTATACCACTCTATGTGACGTTATTGCAGTCCTATTGTTGATTAAGTACTCGTTTATGACATCGATGTCATAGTTGAATAAGCTTAGAAAACCATCGTAAGTTCACACGGACTTCGTTCTTGCGAAGCTATGAATAGTCGTGATCATTTGTACCGAATTGATACATACTGCGAAATACCATCGCTTATTGTAACCGCGTTTTCTAGAGATGCTAAATACGATAGAGCGGCAATTTGTCGTTCGTTTGTAAATTTGGAATATTTAGCCTAACTCGGAACAAAAAATGTAAGGCTGACAGCAGTACAGCTAGGGTTGCCAGATGGCCGGGATTTCCGGGATTTTCTCGGAATATCACGTTTTGTCCCGTGTACAGTAATTTTCTATCTGACCCGTTATGTAAAAATACTTGTTTTTACACAAAGTTACGATATTACGGCGTGATGTGAGCGAGGGGAGGGGTGAGCGGCTTTAAGTTGAATTTCTTTTTTTACATTTATAACAGTTTCAGAAAGTAATTAAAAAGATTTTAATATTTTTTTTTCGTCAATGTATAGTTTTTTGTTATTCCTACTTAGATAAGTCTTGGATCGGAGACCAAAACTCTGAAATGATTAGCCTGGATCTGGCAACCCTAAGTACAACCCGATTATTTCTCATATATCTCAATTAAATGTAAGTGAACCCTAAACCAGATAATATTAATTATTCTATTTTCGAACCCGTCCGTGTTTTTTAACCTCCTGGCGATCAGAGATCTATCTAAAGTTAGAATTAAGTGTTGATTTTCCGAACTTGTTTATGGCCAGAGTTTATCTAAAAAAAATGTGAAAAATCCTTATCATACGTATATAATTTAGATTGCTTCGGTGTGTAATTTCCTACATCCACTATAAATACATTTCTACTCAATAAAATGAATCTACCCTCCAAAGTTCAAGTCTCTTCGATCAGCCGTTTAGGCTGTGCATTATCGTTAAAGATTTTTATAGTAAGTTAGATAACTATATACTATTTTTAATTAAACATTGTTGCCAAAACAATCCTTAAACGAAAGAGTGGAATGATTCTTAAAATTATTAAGAAAAGTATTTGATAATCCAAATATGTATCTAAAAATTCACCTTAAGCTTCGAGACTGGGTTACGCCTTTTACAAACAGAAGCTTAGAACGAAATATATTTCACAGTCTGGCTTAAAAGTTTCTCCAGGGGATGTTTAGTACTTACATAAAATAAGTTCTAGAGAAGTGGTAGAAGAGTTTTTCGTTGGTAGAAGAGTAACCGATGGTTTTGTTAAATATATGCCTTATGTTATGATTATAAGTACAATTCATACTTTTTAAAATAAGTGATAGAAGTTAAGTAGTAAGTAGATTTTTAAGTTGATTTGAAATGATTAAGTACACAAATAAGTAATAAGTAGCAAGTTAAAATTTAGTTAACTACTTATGAAATTAAAAAGAATTAAAGTTTACTAGCACTTAATCACTTAAAATTAAGTAAAAAAACTTTTTAATCACTTATCTTTTTAATCACGTGTAAACTAGCCATAAGATTTGATGACGACTTTAAGCTCTAAAAATGTTCTAAATTTGAAAAATTGTATTGGTAATGACTTTTGAAGGAGGTTTTTTTGATCACACTTCTATGCTATGATAGCTTTGTTTTTATAATAGAATAGCACTGTAGCTCTAATGATACCAAGTGGCTTGCGGGCGCATTCCTATTAACAATACAAACTAGATGGCTAAATGACAACATTGCTTAAATCTTTTTTTTTCAATATTATAGTATTAAAATGAAATTATGCAAATTTATTTTAAATATCTTTCGTTTGAGGTAACATATATCAATCTATCAAATATAAAGGCGAATAAACTGTAACCAGAGATATTATTATGGAAGTGTTACATTTCAATTCGTAATTTTTATTATTTTAACATCTATGAACTTACTAGCGGCTTTACCGCGTTTGCGCCTGACTTTTATTTTGTTTAATATAGATTTCCATAGATGGAAGACTTTTTTAAAATTGAGTGATTTATTTTAAACTGTATAAGAATATAATTATTAACTGTTCCAAGTTTCATTAAAATTGGTTAGAGACACACACACACACAGACAGAGTTATTGTCAGATAAACTTATAGGACATACAGGTGCTGATTTCACTTAGTGTGATCTAACAATAAAGTCTATGAAATAAATGAGTTATATTTAGCCTATTCCACCCCCATACGTCGAAATGCACAAGACATTATTTTAACACAGGACTAATGTAATCGGCCCAATTGTAAATATATAAATCCGTTATAATATACATATAAAGACTATACGCAGTATACGAAAAGCCTTGATTTATCATTTTAGCAAATCTTAAGTTTATAATTGCTGTGTGAATGGGAGATCTTTTATAGTAATAACTAATTAGGTACGGTAAACCCTTAGTTACCCCTTTAGTCCTTGCTAGTTAGTCCTTTTAAAATGACAACATCAGTCTTCTATGAAGTGACTTCAAGCGGTCAAAGCTGTGCTTTCATTGTTACCTTTTTGTACATTAATTTACCCTCGTACGCAAAAAGGGCTAAGCTACAAAAGCTTCCATATGAACTAATAAAATATTTGTAATGGACTAGCTCTTCAGAACACGGAAACCATGTTGTCCAAATAAGCAAGATCTTTCCGCTCTGTCACCATAAATAGCGGTTATCGAAGAATTTGTCGCAGAGATAGATCAAGGGTAGTTGGACGCGGAAACCTACTATATATCACCAAGCCTTGGTGAATATGACATGGGCAAGGCATACAATTTTGGGTACAGAGTGTTAAAGGGTGGTCGTTTGCATTGTGCTCATAAATTATGGGAATGAAAAAATAGTCATGGTTACGAAAGTTATCCGCAGCGGCTACTCGTGATGTGGATGATCAGTTTTTTTTTACAAAAAAGCATTAGTTAATGTTTTAAAATATTGTTTAATGTAATAATTGTTATACTTAAAAAAAAACAATTAAATGGATAGATAAAATGTATAAGAAACATTTTAACGTTGTGTATTTGAAGTAGAACCTAATAAAATGTATTAAAATTAAAAAGTGACTTCATTAGAATATGAAATCATTTTTCGTTAGATAAAAGATTACAAAACGATATAATTTTACATTTACATAGTTTACAAATAATACGTTAAGATTATCTGCATCGGTATTAGTTAATCCATACTCTTACAATTAAAATATGCCTAATGAAATAATAAAAAATATTAGGAAATATAAGGCAGAAGCTAAATTTGTTATGGAACTCTACAAAGTATTTCCATCCTTAACCCTATACTTGGCAGAGAATTTTTGACTAAAAAAAATATACTTCTGCAACTTTTTTTTGTTAATTGGATAATTAGGATATCAGGAAAAATATAATAAAAAATCCCCGAATTTCAGTTTTCAGGATATATTATGTGTCTCACAGTACACACTGCCAGGTATGCAAGAATAAAATAACAAAGAACCAATGTGTCTTTACATGCACACTGCCATGTAAGTAATAAACCAAAAAAACAAACAAAACATCAATAAACATAATATAAATCTTCAGAACACTTAATATAAAAGTTTCAATGTTATAACTTAACATAACAACAAGTTTTGAGATCTTTTAGGAACATTTGTCTATGAATATCTATACTAGAAACTAGAAAGTTTTAGGAACATATAGTTTACTTTAGCCAAAGTTCTATAAATGCAGTCAAAATCTCTGAGATCAAAGTTTTTTCTTTAAGTCTATGTACTTTTTAACAAAATTAATATGTACTTAAAATACCTACAATTTAGTGTGAAAATCCCTAAAGCAATTTCGCCCTTCAACTATACACAGCCGTGCGTTACACTTTTGACAAAAAAATTTGGTTTGATTTTTCGTACAGTTTCTACATCTGCCTTTTGTCGTGAATGTAGGAAGATGCCCTGTCAGGTCGTAACGAATAGCGTCATCAGGTCTTTCCGCAATAGGTTTCTTTACTTTCGTTACAGTTTGGGGAAAAGTATCAGGTTGTAGGTTGGAACACCTCTCAAAAAAACGCAGTTGCCTATATAGCGTGACGCGAAACTTTTTGAGTGGCATTAGTTTTTGTTTGTCAGTATTCTCGTGACGATAAAGCAACCAGGCATTATTGACGCAGATGTCCAGAATCTGTGAAAACAATACTAAATACCAACGATGGCCTTTCAAAACTGTACGGTATAAAGCAACTAACATGTCGGCCAAATCGACTCCACCCATATTTGCATTGTAGTGCTTAATTAAATTTGGGCATGTGACTGGACCTTTTTTCTTTTCTTCTTTTTTGTACCGCATTATATTCTGTACGGGGTAAGCGCTAACATAGGTGCTTGCAGCTAAGACACATTTATTGTCAAACCACTTCACTACAACTATGTTATGTTCATTAGACACGACTTGTGTAAAAGCACCCCTACCCTTTTTCTTCAACTCCTTGTCACTTGGTAATTTTTTTTCTGCCCCTCGAAGTCGATTTGTCCTGACGGTTCCTAAAGCGAATATACCATACTCATTCCTTAAATGATCCATCCATTCAATTGACGTAAAAAAGTTGTCAAAGTATAGTATGGAGCATGGTTTTTCTTTTATACATTTGGCCAAAGCTATTACGACTTTTGCTCCAAGGCCCATACCTTTTTCTTTTTCAGTAAAAGTATGGTGTCGAAAAGTGTCATCTCCTCCATAAATTATGAAATGATGGACGAGACCAGATGGTGAGGCACGAACGAAAAACTTAAACCCCCATTTTTTAGGTTTATTCCGTACATATTGTTTTCGACTGCCGGCTCTAGTACCCTTGTAAGGTACCATCATCTCGTCGATGCTGAAACGTTTTCCTTCAGGAATATTTGATGCACAGTTACGACGAACTTTTTCTACTAATGACCTTATTTTATAGTATCTGTCACCGTCATCTTTTAAATTATCATTGAAATGAATGTAACGCCGAATAGACTGAAATTTTTTAAGTGTCATCACATCAGCAATTTTGCTATATTTAAATTCGTTTGACCAGTAATCAGTGTATGCCGGCATGTCTACGACACTCATCAGGATATTTATAGCTAAAAAATCTTTAACTTTGTCTTTGGTTACATTAATTGAAGTGCCCTTTTTTTGTACAGAATATAAATTGGTGTGATATACTATTGGTTCTAGAACATCGTCAGAAAAAAACAAATTAAAGTAATCAAGCGGCGATTTCTCAAAACCAGTAGCTCCAAATAAAATCCAAAAAAAATGCCTACACCTCTTTACTTCATCTTCCGAAGATTCGCTGGATTCAATGTCAGACTTAGCACCATATTTTGGCACCAAAGCAAGAATTTTTCGACCTCGAGTCATCTGAAATCAAAGCAATACAAGTATGAAACAGGATTTGCTGAAAGAGGGTATATGAATTGGTGGCATTCTTTTTGAAAAAGTAATTTAAGTATGCGAAAAAAGGCTCGAGTATGGATCATCATAGCTGGCAATGTGCATTAAAAGATGCACATTGCCAGCTATGATGTGCACAACATTCACAAATAGTAATAATCTATGACATTGGCAGTGTGTATTTAAATACACACAAAACAAAAATCGTTAATTATTACATATTCAAATATGTTTTGAATATGTAATAATTCTTTACATATTATTATTATATTTATTACATATATATATTACATACATATTATTAATTGTAATAATTGAATTACAAAAATAATACCACCAAACAATTGCGTAAGGCTTGCAGTAAGTAAGATATATGACAACTCCATAAAAATCACTTAATTAAACTATGATAAAATACGGTACTTACAATGGGTTGCGCGTACGCTGACCGACGGTTTGCCATTTTGTACACCACTGACAGTGTGTAAGCGAGACAGCTAAAGTTTTCTTTTTCTTACATTTAGAAACGTTTACGAAGACACTTTACATTAAAATATAAATGGTTTGATGTTAATATTTGCCAAAAAAAAAATTTGAATTGAATGTGCATATATGTTCACATTGTCAAGTATAGGGTTAATAGCGATAAAATTACAGAGAAGGGACACAAAGGTGTTCTGATGTATATCAGGTCAACATTCGACCGTCACCTACTACTATCAATAGGGTGCAATTTCCTCTTGTTCTCAACCATTCATGTGGTTCAAGTTATAAGCGTAACGTACAAAGAATTAAAATGATAGAATTTGAGTACATAAATATTGGAAACACATTCACATGTGGCGAAATCGCTTAACAAATGTGACATTCTCGCTTAAGTTGGGTCAATAAGTAGTTTAATTAGTAAAAGTAGTCGGATGGATAGCGATAAATTAAGGATGAATCACATCTTAAACTTAATAATAGTAGAGTTTTAAAAAAATTTTGAAAATACGTGTTAATAATGTGTCATATAACATACGCCGTGAGCTTACCGTCTATACCACACTGCATCTCCTTCGTCCGGTCGTCACTCAGTGGAAATACCCCATTATGTCGCCAACACACATGCAGTGGTAATTCTTTTACAAGTGCTTCGGATTATGAGCTGAATGGTCGTTCAAGATGGCACTTACTACATATAACGCTTTCCTAAGATTTATATACGCGCTGTTAAAGCCTGCGTTTGGAATAAGTAACGTTATGACTTTACATAAGTAACATTTTGGTGGTTAAGATCTGAACTTTGCGATAACATTTTGTAATAAAATTATGTTATACTTGGAAAAAATTTAAAAAGCGAATGTTTAGCTGATTAAATAATTAATGTATTTGTAGTTGTTTGGCTACAACTTTTGAAAAACATTTTAATTTCGATTCGACCGATCTATATTTTCTTAATACATATATAATGTTAGTGTCGATTAATATTAAGAATGTACTATAATTTGACGATTGAGTATCTGACTTCCCAATAAGACACACCTCTCATGATCTAATCGATCACGTTATAAACACCAGCGTGCGTGTGTTGAATCTATTGTGAGATATATAGACAGACCTGACTTCGGCTTTATATACTCTGAATATTTCAGTTTTAGCTGCCTTTAATTGTAGATCAGGTCAAATTAGTTCAGAATGTAGGATTTTCTTTCAACTCTATGTATAAATCGGATGTATAAAAACAAACTGTAATATTTTCGGTTTCTCTATGAAAATATTAACCTTTTGTAAATGTTTTGGTAGTGCAATCCATTACAGTAGCTACACGGTAAATATGTATTCATTTAAAGTGTTTTTTACAACGGAAACTAATATAAATATAACATGTTTTGTAGGAAATATCTCTGTTGTACATCAAGGACAATATTAGTAATTGTTGTTACAGAATGTGGCTAGTGGGCGCTGTGCTATGTGTGTTGACACAGAGTGCAATCGCCCAATGGCGTTGCCCGGGATTAAGTGCGAGGCCAGCTGCGGAGTGCTCCTGCGACCTGCCACACACATTACGGTGTACAGGCGATCATACTGCGCTACAGGTACATTTCATTTTGATATCTTTTTAATTCACAAGTGTTCGCATACTTAGTTTGACCCATGAAGTAACTGATACATTTGACAAATAAGAATACTCGTTGTACATAATATTGATTTATTAGTGACTGAAACACTTCATACTTGATGTTCGCTACAATGCCTTGATCGAACATGTAAATGTTGACGCGGTAACATGTTTAATATGCGGCCTTAACCGTACAATAATATTGCGGTGTTTTTTAAACGTGGAAGACAAAATTTCAGCTCACGTGATTTCTGATTGTATACTATTATTTATTATAAAATTCTGTAGACCAAAACACAATTCATGGAAACTGTGAGGTACGTTAAGACATATATCATTATTAGACGAAAATTTCTAAAGTTTCACGTTCGAGGTAGAACTGTTCGAAGTTAGCTGATGACCTTACAACGTAAACAATACAACATAGTAACAGATACAAAATAATAACATATCTTTGGAATATGACGCTTTAGAAGATTTGATTAGTATAAATGAATTGTTTATTTGTAAGAAACAAATATATATATTTTTTTAAAGAATGCACACACAACCTGTTGACTTGGTCAACGTACAAATATATCAATACCTGTGTCTATCTAATTCAAATTTCCCATTTCACAATCCGGGCGACTGCTCTAACCACTGAGCTACCCAGGACCAAACAGGACTGACGAATCTTTCAAGCACTTGTTACTTTTTCGCTACTACAGAGGGTATTTTCATATATATATTAATTAATATAGCAAAGACTAATTATTAAGATGTAATAGATGAGATAAAGTAAGCAGAGATGAGAAACATAAAAATTGTCCTCCGGAGCCGAATGGCTCACATGGGCTCGATTCCCGGTCGGGACAATGTACAAATGAACTAATATATATTGTCTCAGTCCTGGGGCCTTCAATGTTTCAGATTTCTATAGTACTAGTATTCTAGCTATAGCTAGGATTCTGAGCATTGTTTGTGATATTGCCGTATATTTATGAATATTTTTATATCGAGTAGAGTTTTATTCAATACGGTTACAATGTCAAATGTAAGAAAAGATAGTACCTACCTACGATTATCATGTAGTCTTTGTCTCAAAGAGCGATTGTCAGTCTACAAAAATTACGTAAAAGCTCAATCCCTCATTAATCCCTGTTCCCTCAATCGACTTTTACGACTTACTATAATTAGAAACAGCTGACGCATTCCGTTTTTCCCCGCTTCTAGGGGCAGTCCTTACGACGACCAAGATATAGTAATCGCTAAAACTTTAGTTTTTTAAATTTTAGTTTCTTTAATACCTATTTAATAAAATAATCAAGAATAACATTTGGTAAGTTGTATTTTTGCATCACGAAGCAAAATATTTCGTTTTATTTTGCGCAATCAATTTCCAATATTGGCTAAGTCATATGAGGTTATATAACCTCACAATGGCGTCTTATGTTTTGGTCGATTTACCTGTTATTAGTTTTTTTCTTATGATGTGGGTTTGTCTCTATGTGCAGTTTATTAGTTTCCTAAATAGAAAGGGGGAGAATTTATTCGTGCGTTCATTCAGACTATTGTGGATGTTTGATCGACTCCAGCTTTACACTGGCAAAATGTTTATAATGAAATAACCTTTTGTATATTGGGTGCTAACATAATTATTTAAAAAGACGGTACATAAATTTGATTAAAACGAAATAAAGAAAAGTTTTCATATATTTCAGACAAGGTGTATAACAAATTAAGAAAGTGTATAACAAGGTATATACGATTTATTTTATTTTTATTTATATATTTATGATACACAAAACAGATACGTAACGCAATCAAACTTACTTATCGCTTGAATTGCTTACTACGAACTTGTGTACACTACATACATTAAACTGAGTCTCTCCATTCATAAAAAACAATTGAATAACTTATATGAAGTGTTGAATAACTTTAGATGAATATTAGATTACATTATACCAAAATTAGATTACATTGAACTAAAATTAGTATATGATTAACATTGAAATTAGCTCAGCTCCAAGTTAAAAGGAGATGTTGAATTTATTTTAAAGTAACCGATTATGTATAACTGAAATACAGTGATCACATGCACCAACTCAAAAAAAAACATTGATTAAATAATACCCGTCTTAAAGAATTCCGGAACCGACCAAAAGATAAGTGAAATATGTTGATGCCCCCGTCAAGTACAACAATTTCATTGTATAGGCGACACATGCGGACCATTGAGTAGTAGATTTGATTAATTTGAGTTGATAGAAAATTAATTTTAACAGTACAAACTTAGCTATGCTATTCTACAATCAAATCAGCTTATAACTCAGTATAGAGCACAATTAAATAAAATCCTAAATTACTTTTTGAAGTAGCGTCTATTTCATTAAACCTCTTTGATGTGACAGCGCTTTTTATTTTATTACGTATCGGATCAGTATTTTCTAATATTAATCCCCCCTAACCTACAAACAAAGAAACAAACACAGAATCTTTACCTTTTATAAAATGAGCATAGATAGTACTGTAGATCCTATGCAGGGAAGAGATCTGGAAATACGATATGCTGCCTTATCTATACTAATATCACAAACAAGAAAGATTTGTTTGAAATAAGAAAGTTTGGTTCGAATATGCTTCAAAACTACTGGATAGATTTTAAAAATTCTTTCACCTGCGGGTAGCTACATCTTACACGGGTGACTTTGGTTATAATTTAGTCTCGGAAAAACAGCTATCAACTTATAATAGTCTTTCACTGTTTTTATCGTTTTATGAGACCTATAAACTTCTATGCTTTATGCGTCATAAAGATTTCAGTATGAAATACAACAATTTAAACCTGAATAATACGTTTAAATCATAAGAACACGACATTTATCAAGCTGATGTTATTTTAAGCTGCCTTCTTCCAAGCAGTTGGTTTCCGAAGAGAAAACACCGTGTAATGTTCTGAAAAGAATAATAAATTGTGTTTATTTTTTCTCTAAGATAGATATAACGTTGTATTATTATTCAGGGAACGTATCGAAAATATGCTTGAGAACTCATGTATTGTTCACGGATATTTTACGTTATAAAAATCAAAAGGAAAGGTTGTTTTTACTCATAATTTTCATATTTAACAAGAAAATTGTTCGTTACTCGCACAGTAATATTCTTTAGATAAAATAATATTGAAAAAATTCGACCTTTAAGGACGGAAACGGAAATTCACTGACACAATAACGGAGACAAAAATAGAAACTACGAAAAATTTATGAAGTAAAAAAATATATAATTATTCGATTATTTAACTTTTTTATATTCCTTCTGATCCAGTTATGCAACATTATAATAGAAAATTTGTAAGTTATACTATATAATAATTTTGTAAGTTAACTTATGTTCACTATTCGTATATATATATATATATATAACTATATCGTATCTAGTTGTCTGTCATTCTACTAGACTAGACACACAACAGGCTATGTATACTAATATTTAGAGTTGGGTCATGCTTGATAGTTTTGATAGTAGGTGTACCTATTCCTAGTAATAAATAATACTCGATCCAATTACCTAATTGACTTAGTACGAGTATTTTTCTAGTTATTGCAGTTGCCTTACTATAAAAACTAAACTCCGTTGTGTTAAAGTAGTATAGGTTTTATGATATGGACAAAAGTATTAGGTGGGAATAACAAGTATATGCAAATATGTTCTTTAAAGTTTTAGTGTAGGGGCGAAAATCGTACGATTTAAAGAAATATTTCATGGATCAAATTCGAGTCCCATCTCAGAGTGCCAGGGATAAAGTGTTTTTTGTGAAATAAATTTCTATGGTCCATTTTTATTTTAAGTTAGATTTACTTGAAACTTTGTAAGGGTTAGTGTAGTTCACTCGGGCTAGTAAATAAATAACAAATAATAACCAATAGACAAAAATTCGAGAGCCACTTTATAGTGAGAAAGTAACAAAAAAAAAACTTATTACCAAAAAGTGTTAATGATATTTTTTTTAATAATATAATGACGAAAATAAGTCAGTTGGCTTATAAATGTTCCCGGGTCATCTAGTAAGTAAAAAAAAAATTGTAATGTGTAACATACCATATACATATATTTTATACCTTATTTTGTACAACATTTACTGTTCGTAAGTGCTATCTAACAATATGTTTCTAAAGTAGTTCTCGGACCTCTACAACACAACGTTATTACTGAAGTGGTCTAAGAAGATTTGAATAAATTATCAAGTGAAACTGAACGTGAACCTACATAAATTACAGCCAATAAGGTCATCAAAAACTGTTAAATATCTCCGTCAGATTTTAAATCTTAAAATTAGATGAGTTAAGTTCAAGATCGATTACAGAAATTTAAGAACTGTGGTAACTTAAGTACTGCTGTGTATTTTAAACTAGTTACAAGTTTATATGTAATTATTCTACGAGTAGGAAGGTTGACTATGAAACAAAAATATATTATATAATTATATTAAAAAAAGTCGTTCATCGACTTCATTCGAAATGATGAATGCTTCACAATAAAATGAAGATTTCCAATACGATTATTACTAATAACTCACACTGATATTATTTTTAGTAACATGTTACATCCAAGTGGTGTTTCGTAATAACAACTGAAGTCAGAGGCACTTAAGGCTCTGAGACGTGTATCGACGCAAGGCGTGATCACTGCGACCCTTCTCAACGTCGCAGGTGCCAGCCGATGGCTTTGTTTACTTTGAGAGAGTGTACCGCTTCTACCATGAGTACACAACTGACTGAATGTGCAACTTATCAAAAACCAAAAAAGTGACATAAATAATAAGACAAAGGAATATTTTTCTTCTCAGTAGCGTACTTCATTGCTGAAGGTCTTGACCGTTCTGATATACTTTGATATAGATATGACGAGCTGCTTCCACGCCTACCTGTCATAAACTTGTTGGAGCGCTTCGGTTATGGTAAGCATCAAGACCGTTCTTACGGAGTCAGATCAGAGAGTCAGATCGATGTTGTGATCTTTTTCTATCCATCGTGCCAATTACAACTTGTCTCAGAGCTCTGTCGCCAAAGCTGCCAAGGTTGTATTGATAGCAGATTGTAGACAATCTGCTTTTAACCTAGTCAGGTTGTAGTTAGTCGAGAATCGATTTATATGCCATATTTCAAAGGCGTCAAACTTTTTTCGGTCTACAGCGTAAATTTACCAGGAACCAGATGCGTATAAGAAAATTGAGAATGTCAGTGTTCACACCAACCTCATTTTAATAACATTCAAGATGTTTCTGTCTTGCCATAATCTCGTCAGTTTACTCATGGCATTTTTTGACATTTATATACGACGATAAATATCCTTGTCGTAACCACCTCGCTCGCTAATAAAGAAGAAAGAATACGAAAGGAATTAGATATCGTAAAAAAAATCTTGAATATTGTAATTGATCAATTACGATATCCCATCTTAGACAGTCAGGGACAAAGTTGATTTTTTAAGCATTTTTCATTAAGAATATTTCTTGAATATCTTGAAAAGAGACGAATCTCTAGAAGACCACACACTACTGCAGCGTAACGCCTTCTCCAACCGTAAAGAAAGAAAGCAAAGTTTCGAAAACTGATGGGTGTGATAGAACGATCAATTTAAAAGAAAGGAGACCTTACCAAAGAAAATATAGGTAAAATAACTACCCAAGTAATGTGCTTTACTAACATCGATGTTTATTGAAAGTTTTTCATAAAGCTTAGTTAATAATATAGAACTTAAGTGAAGTTTTAATTTTTGTGCCCTCAAGGATATTTCGACACCGTCGTCTAGTTAAATTTTGTCTCTTGTCAAGTTTCAAATTACATTGTTTTTTTAATTATGTAGTTACAAATAAAAAAAAACAATATCATAAAAAGGTTCTTTTATATGTTACAGATTACAATTTTTAAAACATTTTAAATAACACACACACAATTTGGAGACACCGATAGACTTGAATTATTCTTTCCTATGTGATACCTCCGTAGGAACACCGATGTGCCCTCAAGAAAACCCTTATACGATAATGGTGTTGTTTTATAGTAATTGAAAAAAAAAGGTCTTTATAACGGAAAAAGTCTTCACTAGGAATGTTCACAATATAATATTAAACACGATAGCAAAAAATGTTAAATTTATTTCATGTTGAAGATTTTTACTATTCTCACTGATTGAATGTGAGTGTCAGTGCTCTTTTGTTTTTAAATTTTAAAGAGAATACTCGTCATGCAGAAATTAAAAGAAGACCCAGGCCTGATACTAGTAACAACTTTAATGAAATGTATTCGAGAATAGTTGGTAGTGGCCAAAGTGTTTCGATAACGTACTCGTATTCGTTTCATTGGGAGGCTGCTTTCGAGTTAATAAGAATGTTAGTAGGTAAAAGGCATTGATTTTAGGTGAATTTCCTGCCTTTTTCAAAGACGATTTCTATAGTAGATCTTTTCATCTTACGTAGTTTCGGACGAGTGGTTAAGATGAAACTTATAACAAATAAACTCTGTTGTCTCTTTTACTTGAAATTGCCGTTACATCTACTCTTGCCCAATACTTGTATTTTTTTACGACCTCTAAATCGTAGCCGAGTGATTCGCACACTGGTATCAAGGTCGCCGTCTCTGACGTTGCAGGTTCAATTCTCGGTCGGAGAAAAAGGACATCTACATTGTCTGCGTGTTGTGGTACTTTCGTTGTCTTAGATACTCAATAATACGAAGCCATAGCTACTCATCATTGAATCTGAGCAATGTACGTGATTTTATCCAATATTTATTAATTTATTTCTTAGTCATAACAAAAGAATTTGTTGTATTAGGATTACGAATAGTTTCAGGAACTGATAAAGTATCGATAATATCTTAGTAACAGACATTCAAAGTAACTTTAATTAAGCATATCAATCAAACAAAGCAGGAATTAAGTTGTCCGCTTCAAGATAAATTGCCTACAACTTTACTATTGATTTATGCGTAACTAACAAAAAGGATTTATTTGTAACAAATAGATGGGCCTCGATATTATCGAGGGATTACAGTATTTAAACAGGCACTTGTTTTGATAAAGTACGATTATTATTATTAAAGTTGATATTTTAACTTTTGTTTTTACTCTATTAAGATTAGTCTGAATTTTTCTTATAATTATTTTATAACATACTAAGAGCCTACCAAGTCTACCACAGACAAGCGTCAACCTGCTGTACTTTCATGAAAGGACACCTTTTAAGTCATAGACAAGATTGGAAGGATTTTGAAGTTCTTTCTGAAGGAAAAAGAAGCTTCTCAATACTTACTCTAAGCCGCCGATCAACTAATTCTTACGACCTGTCAAGTGTAATATCCCCTTTCAAGTTGCAGGTGTTTACAAAGTAGAATGCGACTTTGGGCTCTCATATATCGGGCAAACAAAGAGGAGCATAGGAACTTACGTTAGGGAACATGTAGCCGACGTTAAGCATACGCACGAAATACATCTGCAGTGTGTGAACATGCGTTAGAAGCATTACATAAGATTTGACAATCCAAAAATAGTTGCGGCTAAATTCAACCCTAGAATGATACGCGAGGTTATTGAATATAAAAAACATCCGAATTTTAATAGAGATGAAGGTAGGCATATAACACCGGCTTGGGATTCAGTAATTAGTCAAATAAAATCTCAATCCAGACCACACATTGCAAAACCAAAAGATACAGTTAGTTCATTTTGTAAATATTTTATCAAAGGGAGCAATTCACTTATCTTGTCGGAGTTTGTTTCGCCAGTTCTTTTTAGTCAAGACGAATTTGGAACTGGTGGTAGATTACGGCAGCCAGAGTTAAATAAATAAGTTAATTGTATTTTAAAAATAATTTAATTTAATAAATACAACGTTGCCATAAAATATATATTTCTTGTATTGTGAATGTGTCCAATAGTATTGTTTTAAAAGCAGTTATATTCTTAATTAAAAAGACAATCAACGCCTTAGTCTTATGTGAACACGGAACCCGTAAAGCGACCGAATCGTCACTAAAACTAAATACAAATGCTTTTAAAACCGTTTAAAAGTTGTTTCATTTATTGTTAACTCTTTTTTTATTTTTTAAATACTCGTAAATAGCCCATTAATTTCAGAGCAATAACAGCATGTCTGCGATTAATGAAAATTACACCTTCGTATATAACGAAGTCTGGGCAATCTTTGTAATATTTTATGTTTGTAGTTATTATAATGAAAGTTTTACATTTAACTAGTGGTCACCCAGTGGTCAAAATTTGACCTAAATAATTTCAATTAGAAGTTTTTTTGTATAATTTCTTAAAATATAATGTTCAATCATTATTAAGGTTCTATTGTCAAATACTTACTGAATACTAAACCCAAAGATTTCGCCAACGCTGAAAAAAATTTGTTTAGCCTCCACAATAAAAAATACAAAAGATATTTGAACCACCAATAAGTGATTTATATATATATTTTACCTGTATGATTAAATTTTTCATTCAGATTACTGCTACAGAACTTTCGTTAGCACATTTGTATATTGCATTGCATTGTACTAATCACTCAAAATCATTTATTTTTCCTGTAAAGTTGTGTATTTTCCTTTTGACATTCAGTAAGACCACATTAAACATCACAAACATATAAATAGATGTCTATTTTAAACATATAAACTTAACACGGCTTAATGTACAAACCGTGTGAAGCCAATATTCAAAAGAAACAAACAAACTCTATGTCAAAAGAAACAATTTGACCATAGAGTACATGTATGCGTGTAGCAAATACTTATGTGTGTCAAATGCATAGTAGTGTGTGTAATGTTTTATTCATCGATTTAATGTACTTTATAAGCATTATTTTGAAAAAATATTAGCCGTTTGCACTTCTCCTACATATAAATTGTAAGTGTGCCAAATTTCATGCTCCTCCGTCATCGCAATTTTCTTAAAAAGGGGTCCAAAGTTTTTGCTTCACGTATCAATATATAGATGTCACTAATTTAATGCCATATGTTTATTACCAACTTTTTAAAGCCTAATATTTTCGAAATAAGTGTAATAAAATTTATTTCGTTAATTATTGATATATTAAAACGGTTCATATTTTTCGACGAACATATAACAGAAACCAGTACTTTCAATTGTAGGACACAACCCTATTATTGTTATTTTTGACGGTTTATTTGTTTTTTTTTTCATAGATAATTGGACGTCACTTACGGGAACAAAGAGCTAGAAATAAAAACACAGCAGTGTCACTCTTAGACTGCGCTTTAAGAGGGGTATCTGCTCTGCCATCTGCATCAGTCGCCGAGCTGGCAGGTGTGGGGTTACACGGACTAGTCATTTCTTCAGGAGATATAAGGAGGGTACAGCAGGGAGCTTTCAATAGTGTTGCGACGACACTATTAGCTTTAGGTGAGACACGTTATTTTCTACTTCTTCATTTAACGTTTTTAGGCACAATTTAAGGAGTAGTTTGGCGGCGTAGTGAAAAAGCGCCGCGGCCCGCGATCGTTGTTAAGAAGCCTATTCCACGTGAAGGATGATCAGAAATTATTATCTACAGCTACTCCGTGGTTCGGGAGGTACGTTAAGCCTTAGTCCCGGCTATATTTACAGTCGTTAATATCCTCCAGTACGCATTAGGCTAGCGTAGAGGGTAATGGCCTATCTTCCTTAACTGTCTACAAGGGAGGTCTAAGTCCCTGCAGCGGGGATGTAAAAGGGCTTATGATGAAGGTATAAATTATTTCTCGATTATAATATAATATTGAAACTAAGTGAATTACTTTGAATCCCGTTAAATCATTATCTAAACTGATATTTAATATTTTAATTTTTGTTGTGTTTTAAAGTTATTCGGTTGTAGTCAAACCAATGTAGTATGTGTAAATATATCAGCTCTTCTCCTTTACAGGTTTACCGAATAATCAATTGCCTTCAGTCCCCACGGAAGCTTTGACTCGACTTTGGAATTTAGATCGATTGGACTTGTCCAACAACAAGATACATACTCTAGACTCAAATTCTTTTAAGGTAAAGATAAAGTTATATAAATATTGCATTTGGTATACTAGATTGATATTGGTTTATGTTTTTACAAAATTCCATTGAAAAAACATTCTTAGTTTGTATTCTTATGTGTTATGTATTTGTATTCTTAAATGCTTGAAAAATTCGTCAGTCCTGTTAGGTCCTGGATAGCTTAGCGGTTAGAGCAGTCACCTGGATTGCGAAAGGTCGTGGGTTCGAATCCCATCTTAAAGTACCAGGGACAAAGTGGTTTTTTAAGCAATTTTCATTAAGAATATTTCCCAGTATAGTATTGTGAATGCAAAATTGATCAAATAATTAGAACAAATTTGATCTCTATAAAAAGTTTAAAATATCTGTAAAAATATTTATTTCGACCGTTTCTAATGGTTTGCCTGGACATTGATGAAAATACGTTCTGTAGTAACGAAAGAGTAATAAGTGCCTGAAAACTTCGGCAGACCTATTAGATGCCGGGTAGCTAGCGGTAGTAGTGGTTAGAGCAGTCACCCACAGTGCGAAGGGTTGTGGGTTCGAATCCCATCTTAGAATACGAGGAACAAAGGGAAGATTTTTGAAGCATTTTTCAATAAGAATATTTTCCAGTTTTCCAGCATTGTGAATGCAAAATTCATCAAATATTTTTGGTTTGTCTTGCATATTTACTCCAACTAATGGTGTCGTTTATATTTTATGGCAAACTTTGCAGTAAATAAAACTTAAAAAGCCGAAAGAGTTTCTATGTTTTTGTTATACTGGTATAAATTTACTACAATATTTTAAGAATATTTTTTATTTAAACATTTGTGATTTAAACATTTGAAACTCTTTAAAATACTTGTTCGATTTGTAAGCGATTGTTCGAATTGTAGGTAAAATACATTGCAATGCATTTAATATCTATGAGATATAGTGAAAGAAAGTTTATGTATTTAATAGTTTGAAGGAAATGTAGTGAAAAAATCTTTTTTTTTTCAGGGTATTCAAAATTTAACATATTTAGATATTAGTGACAATCAATTGACGGACATATCCATAGACGCTTTTAAGCCTTTGATCAAATTGACGGTTCTCAGACTTAGAGGAAATCTTCTAAAAGTAGGCGCCTTGGTTTCATTGAAGGTAATATATTTTACGTATATTTTTTGTAAAAAAAAATTAATTTTATAGATAGAGAGAGAGAGCTTCATTCCCATACCGATGATAAATCATTGCATTATTATTGAGCAAAACCTTGTCATATCTTATTTGTTGTTGCTTCAACATTCTCTATTGTAAACTTTAATAGCACATATGTACATTTATGGAGAATGATAAATTTGAATATCGATAGCTACTTAATATAATAACTTCATCCAATCATCATACTGAGTTATAGTTATACTCGGTGGAACAGAACGACCGACACTCCCGAGGTTCCTAGAGAGTACTATTTGTCTTTAATATGATGTAAAAAAAATTATAAGTCTAGGTCAAATAGTTTCGGAGATATTAAATTACAAAGTTTTTGAAAAAAATGAGTGTTTTCAACCCTGAGTCAGCTGTTTTTGGGACGTACTAAGGAAAAGTTTTTAATCGGTCATTGACTTCTTCATTTCTAAAAACGAAATAAACTAGTTTGTGATTTATAAGACTGCTTTCATGCAAATTCTACCAGACAATCAATAAAAAAGGCAGTCAAAATGCTTAAATCGATTTACAGACTAACAGCCGGTTTCTGATTTGAAAGTAGAAAATTTCTACTGCTTATTCTCAATAACCTAAGTTTTTTTTTGATTTCACATGTCAAATAGTCCTAGTTTTATCAAACTGCTATCAACTGATCATCAAAAAACTAAAATCGGAAACGAAAACTAAGTGATGTTTGTTTAAGACGTGTAACTTTAAATTCTCAATTAAGAAACCGAGTGTAAAATTTCCTAAATTATTGTAGAGAGATCAGTCTAATATTAACCTACGTTATTTTAAAAGAGCATTTCTCCAAAAAAAATTGTTTGAATGGGGTAATACTCCTTTAACATCGGGATCGTTAATTAAACTCGATAAACTTACAAATCTTCCAGTGATTCATCATTAACAGAAATGAACTTTGTTTTAAAAACATTGAAGAATTTGTTATTAAAATAGCATTTAAAAAGAACATTAAAAAATGCGTGATATCAAAAGACGAATAAAAAAAATGTGAACCGAGTTCGTCCCTCGATATCAAAGCCCCACCCACCAGTCAGCCGCCAGGCGGCTTCATTATTCTGTCGGTATTTTCAGGCCACTCAGTCGCCGCCGACCTTTTGCGCTGAAGTGTTGTTGCGCATCGCCGCCGACGCACCGCTGCGAAGCATCTTTTTTTGTCGATTTTTATTTTGTTCTAGTGCATTTTTAATTGAATTTTTGTTAATAAGATACTAGAGTGTTTGTCTTGAGTGTTAAGTTTAGTTTAGTGAAGATTGTGTTTAGTTTTGTGTGAAATGTGATGTGTTTTGCGCGTGCATACACTGGCATGCAAAAGAGCGTGCTTAGCTGTCGTCAGAGAAGAATTGAACATTTTCATTTTGATATTTTCATCGACTATCATTAAGATATCGGTAAATTATTAAATTAAATTAATGTATTTCGCGGTCCGTTGTAATCTGCGCACAATCGATATGGCGCATGCGCGTTAAACGGCTGTCAACACTTAGAAATTTTAAATTTTTACTCCATTTTTACACCTCCTCTATTTTTAAATATTTGTCAAATAAAATGAACGTTTGCATGTAACCTAACTTGATACTTTCGGCTGTGTCGGTCATTTTGTTCCTCCCTGTATATATTTTGTAGTTGGCGCCCATCGTGTAACTTAGTACGATAAGTTTGGGCGCCAATGAAATAAATTTTAAACTTATTAAATTCCACAATAGGAAGCACACCTGTTGAGAGACTTAGACCTCTCAAGCAACGCTCTGGAGGGCCCGCTTGGACCGTCAACAGTTCCCTCCTTAAGCTTCTTGACCAACCTTCAATTATCCGACAATACATTTGCCAGTATACGACGAGGAGCTTTGTCAGGTGAGTGGTTTTATTTTTCTTTATACTTCGCGAACGAGCTTGGATACAAGTGTGTCGTACAATGTGTCGGCGTATTCTGTTCATATAAGTTTAGTTTCTCGGAACCGCTTGTTAAGTTGGACAAGAATTTATAAAATTTTAATAAATCCTATGCACTTATATTATTTTCTATTGAGTCGTATATCTTCAAAAAGTGTAGTTATGACGTATTATTATTAACAATGAAAGATGAACATATAAAGTTTTACTCGTTAATAAAGTATTCCTTCAACAAGGGAAGTAAGGCACTGACTAATTATTTCATGAGTTTACATTTGAGTGTTTCTTTACTGAGCAAGTTAAGTTATCAATATTTACTTCTGAAGAATATACGAAACTTAGTACTATCAGTAAGTTTTTTCATTTCTTTTTTTAACTCAGTCAACATCCCTATGATGTTGACTGAGTTAAAAAAAGAAATTCTATTGGGTCAGTCGGTCAGATAACAGAAATATGTTAGATACATACTTAAAGTTTAGATAATAGACGTTAAAGTTGAGGAGTGAGAGTTCATTACGTCACAGTTTTGTACAAAAAGTGCATTACGCAAAAAATAAGTGTTAATTATTCACAAAAATAAACAAAAAAACAGACTATTGAGTGAAGAATATTGAGTGTCATGTACAATTACAGGTCTAACCAATCTCACTCATCTAAACCTTCACAATAACCAAATCGACGTGTTAGAAGACTACGCATTTCGTCATCTCACGAACTTAACCCACTTGGATTTATCGCACAATGAGATAGTAGCTGTCTCAGGTAAGAGCCTTAACACATAATTCAGTATCTAAATATGATTGTTTGGTTTGATTATAATATTGTATTGTCACATATCAGCAAAATATTAGTTGGTTTTTGCATTAGTATTCGTGTGTCAGTAAAGGGAAATTTACCAGTCGATCGAAAAGTTGAAACTATTATTCTTGAATTACCACTTTTTTCATTATTTTTATTTATTTTCTTTGTCAGGGATCTATTATGCAATATAAACTTTTTTAATCGCGTGATACTGCAATGTTGGCTTGAATACTGAATGCGGAGTGTGAGTTTTTATGTTGTATTATTACTAATACCGTATTCATTGCTTATATTTTACATATCCAAACTTTTTGAGAAAATTTTATTTTTTAATTCTTTATTTAAATTATTGTATCAATATTTTTATCTATAACAGTCTCTTCCCCTATATTATAAAATTTAATACGATGCAAGCTTTTATTTCGAACCCATTACCCACTCACCGGTTGCGCTAATCGTAGCAAGTTTGTCTAGCAAGACTTAAAACATTTCGACTTATTTCGGGTAATCGCTTTGACCACTTGCAGTGATTTCAGTGTTGTTTTGAAAGATTTTATTAAGAAAATGTGATACAGTCTGTTTTAGTAGTAAATTTTGAAATTTTAAATAAACTTTTTCTAGATTAGATTAATTTAAACTGTTTGGTTTTTTTGGTTAGCAACAAGAAGTATAAATTCCAAGAGATATTTTGTTCAGTAATATACGCTAAAAGTTGATAAGTTGATTATTGACTTACCCGAGGTCTGAACAGGAAAAAAGCTTGTATTCTTCGCAAAGGTTAATTGCCATCATTATTTTATCGGCGTAATTGGGCTTGTGGTACGGATGAGAAGATTAAATTACTAATTAGGTATCTTGAAAAAATGTATACTTATAAGAAATATAAAAATGTATCAGAAATATCTAATAAGCATCGATGAAAAACAGTCATACTTTAATTTCCGGGAGAAAAACCCAAAGGAAGCACTGAGAAGTAACGTAAAATTAAAACGATTGAATTTGTTTATTTTTTGTTAAGTTTGCCATCGGTGACTGAGCTATATATGCAAATTTTTAAATTACATTATTTATTGATTTTATGTTAAAAGATATATAAAACACGATATGGCTTAGCAGAAAATCAATATTGAGATGCCATTTGATAGAGAAGTAGGTATGGAAAAAAATACTTATTACGCTGAACATATATAATTGAACTAGGGAAAGCAAACGATGAAACATAGTTAGCTGTATTTTAATGTAGATTAAACATAAAATCTAAGGTTATTTAATTTTGATATTGAGCATTTTGAACAATTAATTCAGGAGTGCGAATTTTTAAAAGAATAGATTTTATTAGTATGTTAGGTAGTTATAATATTAAAACAAACTCTTTTCTACGCAACTGTAGTGGTTGAAGAGGAATATTATTAAATTTTGTATAGGGTTGATTCTCAGACTAGGGACAGACTAGGGTTGATTGTTTTAAATAATTAAAAACTATCTTTTGTTGCTAGTCAGTTTATTTTTATAGTTATTTAATTTAATTCGAGTTTTTTATTTTTTATTTTAAATCGAGTTTTTTTATTTTATTAAAAATAGTGATGCCTTTTTTGACATCGCAGTTCACTTAATTCTATAATAAAGTTTTGTAATCAATAATAATGATTCTATTCAGAATCATTATTGCTTTAAGTTATAAATTCACAGGTTCTTCTGTTTTTCATTATCTGTTGTTTAGTGGAATGATAAATTATATTTTCTACAATAATAAAGGAATTGACTGTTTACTGTAATACACTCAGTAGTATATCAGGTTATCTGCAACCAAATCAGACCTTTGAATTTTAAAAATTAATCATTGTAATCAATTGAGATTATAATTAATAATTGAGATCAAAACCAAATCCATTTAAATAAAAATAAAAAATTGTCGAAAGACCATTTTAAATAATGCCTTTTGCTCTTGAGTACTATAATAAATTAATACTTATATTAGTACTTATTCTTTTAATCCTTGATGTTCAGGTGCATCTCTAGCGCAACTCATCAACTTAGAGCAGCTGGATCTTTCTCATAACTTCCTCCGTTCCCTGTCCGCTGAGCCTCTGAAGTCTCTACGAAGTCTAACCGAGCTGTACCTTCACGATAACGACATATCGATGATTGATGACGGTGCCCTGGCACTGCACAAGGACTTGGGGAGGTTCACCATCGAAGGTAATGGTGATAGCATGATATGCGATTTGGTATGGACACACGGGATTTCAGAGTGACTAACAATGTTTAGAATAACATAACCAAGAATATATTGTACTATCACACTACACTACTTCACAGATACACAAGCAATTCGTCGAGTTATTTAACTTAGTTTCTCCACTAGATGTCGTTTGCTTTGTAGAAGGGAACGATTTGCTAAGGCTTGTTTGTGCTTTTGATGACGCAATTTAAATAGGTTCTTATACCAAAAAAAAGTGTGTGTTTGAATTTTTAAACAGTATGCTTTTTCTAGAGTCTGCCATTATTTTTTTTATTATAATGATACTTATTATATTTGATCAATTTTGCGTTTATAATGCTATACTGAATTTTTTTAATGAAAAATGAAAAAAGGGTGGATTGCCAAGACATTGGCAAAAATACGCTCAGTAGTAGCGAAAAAGTAACAAGTGCTTGAAAAAATTCGTCAGTCCTGTTAGGTCGTGGATAGCTCAGTGGTTAGAGCAATCATCCGGATTGCTAAAGGTCATGGGTTCATTTCCCATCTCAGATCTTTTAAGTATTTTTCATTACGTATATGGTCATTGATACGTTTGCCATCATGTATAATTGTTTTTTAAATTGAGAATTAAATGTTCGTATTGAGACAATATGACGTAGCTGTCAAAGCCGGGGCAGAAGATATCGACTGTGCCATTTTGAGTTTTAATAACTTGAGCAACCGTTATTAAAAAAAGAAAATGGTAGTTTTGTGGAACATCCAAAATGAAAGCATTTATTATATGCGTTTCGGAATTAGTTATTTTGAGAGACTAAATGTAAAGGATAATAATTTGATAATTTTTTTTTTAGTTAGGAAAACCGAAGTTACCAATAATTAAATGATGCTTTTTATGTTATCCAAACTGCGAAGCCGTGTGTTCGTGAGAAATATTTGTCCATATTCAACATTTTCATTGCAAAGGCGCCGCGACCTATTGTGGGCTCGCCGAAACGCCACTCCTTGTCATATTGTGAGATTGCCAAGTCACGTATATACTGTACAGTTTATTTATGACGTGCTATAGTTCTAACTTTAGCAGTGTTCGGTCTATGATATCAAAGGTAAAACGTATTGAGGGTTGTCATTGACCTTGGAATAATATTTAATGCCTTGTTATTAATACATTATATGGTTGTATATATGCCCTTTTTAAATTTAAAATATCATAAGAATAGATGTTAACAGTAAACACATTTTATTCAAGAAGAAATTTTAAAATTTCCATCTTTTATTGTATGGGAAAACTCTTATACAATAAAAGTGATTTTATAAAATTTCGCGTTTATATATGGCGATAAATACTTGTTTAATTCTATGTTTAGTATTTGTTGTTATATCCGCAACAGAAATACATAATTTGTGAAAATATTAACCGCTATCATGATATCATATAAATATCATGAAAATATCTATAGCTATCGATTTATGAGACACAGCCTGGCGACAGACGGACTGACAGATGGACGGACAGCAATGAAACTAAGTAGTAGAGTCCCGTTTTTACCCTTTGGGTACAAAAACCTAAAAATGGGTGAATAGAACCACATACTCCTCGGAATTATATTTTATAATCACAGGATAAGGGACTCTTTAAGGGAGAAATTTAAGGAAATAGACATAATGACTGTTGATTCTCAATACATATACGAGAACTTAATGTACGTTCGTAAAAATATTAGTTTGTTTTCTATAAAAACTGTACACAATTTTAATACAAGAAATAAAAATAAATTAACGGTGCCTGTCACTAGACTGCAAAAAGTTAATAACTCATTCAAGGGTCTTTGTGTGCGCTTCTACAATAAGGTCCCAAGCAAAATACAACAATTAGATATCATGCAGTTTAAATCTACTATTAAAAAAATACTTATTAAAAAAGCTTATTATAAGGTATCCGATTATATGACAGATAAGAACGCTTGGACTTGAGAAGATCTAACAACTGGATAGGTGATTACTTCTTAACTCATTATCTTGTTTCCATTATTATTAAATGATTATGTTATCATTATAAGACCATATTTATTTATTTTTTCTCTATCTCTGTTTATAATGTATAAATCTGGTAATGACATGGTTTTTGTAAATGTCATTACTCTTATTAGAGCTGGTGAGTTTCTTGCTCGTTCTTCTTATCAGCCAAAAGACGTCCTGAACGAGTGGTAGGGAAAAAAATGTTGGACGATTCAAAAGTACTTTTAAGAAGTCTATTTGAATAAAGATTATTTTGACTTTGACTTGACTTTGACCCACGTTCACCCTATTTTTTTTCTCCGGTCGTTATAAAGTTTACTGTGTAGGTATTTGTCTCGGCTCTAGCTGTGATGGCATGCTTTCATTGTTTCATATACTTCATAATAGGGCTTTAGCTACTTATTTATTAAACCATCTGATATTTATTTTATTTACCTAATTTTCATAAAATACCAATATAAAATTGTGATTTTACAATTTGCCACTGTCAAAGACTTTAATAATACGGGGTAATAAATTTATTAATATAATATATACGATTGTAATTAAGTACTCGAATATAAAGGCACTAAACATAATGACTATCTTATACTTCTTCTAATAAATTTAATTGCATGAAAAACTAGTAGTAGACTTAATAGAGATTACTATATAGAGATAAACGTATTTTCAAAACTGTTATGGACCCGAGGTCATCCCATATTTTTCTTTGCGGCTTTGTTGTATCAAAAATACGATGGCAAAATAATGTTATTAGATAATACATAAAAAGATCCTAAGTATTAATGTATTAAAAAAATATTTCCCACAAGACAAGTAAAATGGAATTAATATCTACCAACCAGTTCTGTACATATTGTTCCTTTTTTATTATATACTTAGATTGTATGAATCCATAGCTTAAGATTTGCCTCGGATTTCTTCAGCTGTGGATCTAGTTTAATTCCATATTTCACTTTCAGATAATCCATTAAACTGCGACTGTTTGATGGCAGGCTTCGCTCGTTGGTTGAGAGAAGTAAACAAGTTATCCCTATCTGACAAATCAGCAGCCGTGTGTGCCACACCTCCGCATCTAGAAGGAGCTCTAATATCACGCCTCTCGAAAAATAAATTATGCGACGATTTCGATCATATAGATGTAAAAGTTGAAAGGAAAAACGATAATTACGATTTTAATAAAGTCTTTGAGAACGCAATAGACGTTGAAAATAAATATGTTGATTTAGAAGCGACTGTACAAGATGCATATATCGATAGACAAGATGGTCTTAATGATGATGTCTATGATGAAGAATTAGATGTACCGTCAGAAGAGGATCTGCCTATATCCAAATCACAGGTAAGTAACGATTATTTAGAAGCACTTAGCGTCCACCAGTAACGTTTAAATACAGATTATAATATTTTTTACAGGTATGATATTTATTTTATTTATCAATATTTTTTTAGGTCCGACTCCTAGACGCTTTATTTGACGACGAAGAAGTTCACCTATCCTGGTCAGTTGAACCACCCTCTGCGAGAAAGTTCAGATGTACCGGTGTGACAGTTTCTAGAAGTGGTGGTCTACCAAAGCATGTGGCTTGTCACAGAGCAGCGCCGGCAAACGTTGTACTTAGGGGCTTGAAAATCGATCCGACAGAGCAATATGCGTAAGTATATAAAATGTAATACGTAAATTTTGTTGATGAAATATTAGTGACTTTTGCTTAAAAAAGCACAGATTTCAGAAAACTGATTATTGATTTTCATATAATTAGTAAAAAATTTAAATCTGGGACATTTATTGTTATTTTTTATTTAAACTGCATTCTAGAATAATGGAAAAAGTTTATTTAAATATTTTAAGTTTGTAAACTTTCTATCACACAAATATATAAGATCACAAAAATATTTGGCAACATGCGAAATATTAATAAAAATTTTCCCTGCATCATAAACCATCGTATACGATCTTGAGCATAGTAAAATGTTTTGCAGAGGTTACCTACCACGCAAAAACTGCTATAAATACTATTTTGGGATGGATACCTGTTTTATTCAACACTTTTATTCGTATGATAAGTAAATGACTTCGGCTTTTTTAACTCTGGAGATTCAAATTTTAACGCCTCTTGGAATGCATTCAGCAAAATCCTTCTAAGAGGCATTATATTTTTTTTCCGAATTTTTTCTTTCCGAAAAACCTGCTTCATGTCGAAAAGAAAAATAAGATAGATTATTGTTCAAAAAATATTATTGTGAAAAATTTGTTTAGTTTTATTTTTTTTTGTAAAAATTTAAATATGAATATTTATTTCTATACGTATGGATTATTTATTTTAATATGAAGAGTTTTAATGTATTTGCTGTTTTTTTCAAAATCTTTTGAAAAATTGATTACCTCTTACACCAGATCTTATATGAGAAAGTACAAAAAAAATAAAATTATTGCAATCTGTCTACGATTTGGTAATTGTGTAATAAAAAATAATTATGTTAGTATAGATTTACATTGAATTCTAATTAGTAAAATAGATTGTCTTAAGAATTTTGTGTTTCATTCGTATATTTATCTTATTTATAAAAATAAATGTAAACCAATTAATCTATAGTGTATGAAAGTGGCTAGAAAATTTCAGCTCATTTGTATGTTATTTGTTGATTGCATTTTTTTAAAATACTCCTTCAATTCATTACGTTCATCTTTTCAATGTTATAGAATATTTTCTAGCTATTTAAAATAAATGGTCAACATTATTGTTTTTCCTACAGTTTCTGCATAGCTTTGGAAGAAATGGGTGCATTTGATAATCCCTTGTCACTGGTGTTGGGATGTAGTCCGCCTCAAATGGTACGGCAACGAGCACCATTTGTCACTGCCGTTCCAATTGTGGTCCCTGATGTTACAGAACGAAGGCTTTTAAGGTAAACTTCATTGGATCCCAAGTAGATAATGTTGCCAAATCTATTGTGCTACTCTCTAAACTAAATCAATGATCATCATCATCAGTCCTTTTACGTCCTCGCCGCAGGTTTTCCTTAAAGTTGGTTAAGGAAGATGGGCCACGCTGGCACAATGTGGATTTGAGACTATTAACGACTACAACTGCAACCTGGACCAACGGCTTAAGGTGCTTTCCGAAGCACGGAGTAGCGAGCTATCTCGAAAATAGTAATTTTTTGGTTACCCATCCCGCGACCGACCCTTGCGAAAGTTGCTTTACAACAACGATGGCGAGTCGCGGTGCTTATCCTCTACGTCAAACTTCTACGCTACGTAAACTAAATCAATACCTTCTAATAATTTGACTTCATTTCAATGTTATCCTTTAGTTACATATAATCAGAAAATCTAATTGTACTCACAAGATTACTTTATACAAATAAAGTAATAATATAACGGTTACTCTGTTATTATTAGTTTAGGGATTGGTAATGCCTCTTGACAGTACTAAAAACAGATTTATGTTTTTATATTATATAGTTGTGTTGAAATCATAATATAAGTTATGTCATTGACGCCGCAAATACAAAATCCACACCAAAGAGCATTTTCATGGACTACCGTTAACTTTGTATGGGTTTCTTTTATGCCAAAAAGTCGCCGTTCGATGACCTAAAAATCAAAAGAACCCAGTCAATCGTCATACAAATACAGCTAGAATAATATGATACTCATCTAAGTTCTCGAATTCAAGCTATCATGCGAAACTATTGCAGTCACTTATACAATGTTATATTCGATTACTAGCCTTCCACCAGCCGCTTCGCCCGCGATTAATTAGATTTAAGTCCAGAAATGAGAAAATTCCATAAAAACTTTCATCCGCTAATTTACCCTCTTAGGGGTTGAATTTTATAAAATCCCGTCCCAGTGAGCACCTACGTCCTAAAAAGAACCCGCATGCAACATTTGAAACTCCTAGCACTTGAAGTAACGAGTTCCATACAAACTTTCATCGCCTAATTTACTCTCTTAGGGGTTGAATTTCATAAAATCCCGGCTTAGTGAGCACCTAAGTCCTAAAAAGAGCCCGCAAAATTTGAAACTCCTAGCACTTGTTGTTTTAAGATTTCGTGATGAGTGAGTTAGTGAGTGAACTTTCGATTTTATATATATAGATAAATATACCATCAATAATAAAAAACGTTAATATCTTACACACAGCTTGTTTTATTTTTTAATAACATTGGCTCACTCTTATTGGAAATCCCCACAAATAAATAGAGATACAGACGTAGATACTCTTATCAATTTTATTTTTGCCTGGGTCCATATCGAGTAATTACTTTTGGATAGGTCAATTGTTGATAAATACGCATTTGATAAATGTTCGAAACTCTATGTTAGATACTTGATTAGTAAAGTAACCCTATTCTATCCATGCTCCTTTAGTTATCAAGGGATAACGCACGGGTCATTAAAACTAAGATCTTTTTCAATGCAATTGCTCATAAAGCGCTATTTTTTTAATCCATTGTAAACACCGAAAGTGAGTCTTTAAACACGTGTTAAATAAAAATGTGCTGAAATCCCTTACTGCACATGTGCTTAAAAGTATTTTTTTAATTTTTTTGGCCGAGCACCAAAGAAATTAAAAAAAAAATGATGACAATATGTCAAACTTTAGAGGCAAAAGTATTTCAAGGAACCTAGAACGAATATTTTCTAATAAAAATGTATGACATGAAAACATGTTCAAATATGACGTTTAATTTTAACAAATAATTTTTACCTTTAATACATACTTAGTTTTATTGACCTATATATTTGTTTTATTTCCTCGCAAAAAGCATTGAAAAATGTTGTAAGAAACTTGAGCGTAAAAGGTTTTCGAATTCGTGCCAATGAAAACCCTCGCTACGCTCGTGTTTTCGATTTTGCCCTTATTCGTAAAACCTTACTTTCCGCACTCGTATCTTAAATAACTATTGTAAAATTATTCTAATTTACTATCGGAATATATTTTTAAGACATAATAAACACAAGCACAGCAATACGTTCAAAAGCCTGTCATAGCTTAGCCTTATATTTTAATTACACATTTTTTGTTACAGAGTATCAGAAGTACGGTCAAACGTCACCAGTGAGGGCGTACTCACAGTTCTTATATCAGTTATGGGTATACCTATCCCAAGAACTCAATTCGGTTTACCAAGATCCCAAAGGCTCTCCACAGCTGCGTCCAACTGTTATGTAATATTGGCCGTGCTTTCCAGAGGATCGTTAGTTGCGCAAAAGGATACACGATGTCAGCCAACATTAGAAATATCAATGGAAGGTTTTATACGAGGCCCTTATGAAGTCTGTGCATCTCTTTCCAAATTTAAAGATGAAGACCAACCCATCTGCGTTGTTCCCCAACTTTTAGATGTAACTGGTTCATTAGAAATTAAAGCAGGTTTCAAAAATATAAATATTGCGTTAATAGGTGTAGCTCTCGGTTTGATGGTCATCGTGATCGGTTTGGTGTGGTTCGTTAGGAAAATGTTGAAGAAACCGGCGGAGTTTGAGACCCACAGGTGTTTTAGACCGGAGCCGGTGCAGGAAGAGAGCCCAAGGTCTACAAGTTACGTTATGTTGACTGCTACTTCAAAGGTTTAACGAAATACTAATGTATGTAAATATGAACTGCAGTTGAATGCTTTATTAAATGTTACAAATACTTCCTTCTTTTCGTGATTTAATTTTAAATTTCAAAATACCTACTTCAATTTTAGACATTTTGATAATTTATACACGCGAAGAAACAAAATTTAATCAAATCTCAAAGAATACAAAAACAATAAAATATTTTACATAATTTGAAGTGTAAAATGATGTACATATTAATTTATAAAAACGTTTTTTACACCAAGTTATATCTCTAGGTCTAGTTGCAAATACAGTCTATATTATTTTCACAATAATTTGCACAAAAATGTACTTCAATGTTTGTTAATTTACAAATATGGTGATTAATATATAAGTAGTCGTTTTTCATTTCCTAGTCTATAGACATTTAATAATATTAGTTTTAAAAATAAATTGTAAAACTAAATTGAGTTTATTTTATGTATGGTAATCACAATTACATTGCATTGTGATTACTTCAGTTCAATTTATAATTTATATAGATATTTGTTGTTAATATAAACTTAATGATGTTGATTTCATTATTAACATTATGTAATCTTATAAGCTGTTAAACAGTACTAATTTAAGATTGTTTTCTTAGAATATATTGTTTATCCGTCTGTCTTTTGTGATAATATTTTTGTTCCAGGTAGAATTGTTTACTGGTAATTTTTAGGTTTGATTTGACGTAATCATTTGATGTAGCAACTTAAGTGCATGTTGGCTTTTTCGGACTAGACTACATTTTTTTTAATTTAAATTACATAAATCAATGTAACTTTAATACTATCTATTGTATTTTTGATTAAAACAGCCTCAAATCCGACGTCGAACGTAGTACTATCACCACGGCTCATAATCACGGAGTATCGGACACTATGCTTAGACAGGCCGCCATCACAGTTATTTCATCACAGTTATTGAAAGAAAATGAAATTTTTCCCCCTCCTCTTCCTTAGCCTCCATTCCCCTCTGTCGTCTGATTGACATATTACACGTAGTATCTTCTTCTTAGTCTGTGACTATCACGTCATAGAGTTTCCATGAAATAAAACCTCTATCGACTTTTGAAGAAGGTTTTATTTGATGAACTTTAATGTTATTACAGAGCTGCGTAATACCTCGAATTTGAGGCACTTTATTACAGAATAGTAATACTCTTTTTGGTCGTAACTATTTTGGACAAAGAAATTATTGTAAATACTCTTTTGAAACCATCTTAAAAAAAAAAACAATTAAAATATGGATTGTTTATGTTGTTAATAAGGATTATTATGATTTTTAAGTCCAAATGACTGATTGGTTTTATAAACATATACTTTAATGTTTTTATATTTTTACAATCTTGGATCTAAAATCGGTCTTCCGTGAAAATATAAAAAATAATACTAATATTATTAACACGAGGCTTCTTAATATTTTTTTTTATTGTTAATATTTTTAAAATACGATAAAAGCTAGTTTTTCATTGTTTTTAGTAAGAGTAGTCGTTTTGGATGTTTGGAGAGTCTATGTTGTGTGTTTTACGGTAAATGAAGCTTTATACTCATGTACTTAACCCTTAACCAGGCCTCGGGCAAATCTTGTAGTAATAACGATTTTTTTATAGATTTTTATGAAAAACAATAGCTAGTTTAAGATTTCATTAATTACATTCAGAAAATTAGTATAAATCCTTTAAAAAAACATGTGGGAATACGTAATCCCATTGCCTGGTTAGACATTGACTTTTATATCTATATATATAAAAAATCTGACAAGGACGGATGTTATTTTGTTAGAATTTTAGTAAAAAAAATAGTAAATTATAGTAAAAAAAAACTAACGTTAATCTTTATTTCAGTAACACAAAAAAAAGAATGACAAAGATTTTTTATACTTATATTGGATTTTGACTTTGGTGGAACAATATTTTTTGGATTTATTGAGTTTGTATAAAATGTATGCGTTTATGACTGCACTCTCAAACAAGAACCAAAACATCCGAAGCCAGGATTTTTTTGACTTGCGGCCAATTGAGTATGAACTCCAATAGTGATCAAAGTGATCTACACCACCCATAGTCCTCGTGTATTCAGCAATCGCAGTGGGATAAAACATGTCTTTCTTTTGACCGTTCTTTTGAGTTCTCTGAATCACTTCGATTTTGGTTGGGTTGACTGCAGTTGACAGTACAAGTTAGCAGTCAGAGGATGGTGCAGGCAATGAAAAAGTAGGTGCCATTTCTTCGTGTTCAGCAGGAGCAAAAAATGCAGCGTAAGCAGGCAAATCTGGGCATGGTGCTGATGAAGTACAAGATGGAGTTTCCCTATTACGTGACTTTTGATTAGGATTACATGTAACGTCGTCGAATAAATGTAATAAAGGGTTACCACCACTACCCACAATTTATATTTCGGTAAAAAAAACTTAATTTTCTCTTTACTTGTAATGTAAGATGACTGTATCCAAATCAAAAACAAAACCCGCGGCAAAACGCTAGTACAAAACAAAGATTTCAATTAACGGGCAATGGACATATAACTCCCACAATATTCTAGGTCTTGACAGGCTAAGGTTGCATGGTCCCCACATGTTTTATTATGTTGTATTATCATAATTTTCAAATATTTACTTATAAATTATGCATATATCATTAGAAAAACTCAAATCCTACAAAATATCAAAAAATTGCACGACTTACCTTTCGCCGATTCGCCATTATAAAAATAAAACGGTGCACTTCTCACAAAAACAACGGTTTTTCAAGCGACCACAGAAAAAATGATCCCAAAAGTGACATTTACGTTCCGTTCCACTTTTTTTTTGTGTGACCATAGACAATATTTCTATTTCAGCATTTTTGATAGTTTGCGGTAGATTCTTTACCAAAACCTGGTAAAAACCTCTAAAAATGTATGTGGGAAGCATATAACCCAGAGACTGGTTAAGGGTTAAGATACAATATGACGTGTAAATGAGAAACACTTTGGCCTTGCTTTAATTAGTTTAAAAGTATGTAAATAATAATTTATGAGACGCAGTTTTTCTGTCGAATAAAAAATTAACAGATTATTATTTGTTTTCTTTTCTTCTACTTCTGTTACGTTTATAACTGATAGAAAAAAAAATACCTACATGACTTATTTAAGCAATATAATGTTTTCATACCTCTTGTGTCAGACAAAGATATGCCTAGTGTTTGACAATATAAAGTTTTACAACTAAATAATAATGAATGTTACACCTTAATATTACTAAAGTCTTATATAATCTATATATATAAAAATGAATCGCAAAATGTGTTGGTAAGCGCATAACTCAATAACGCCTCGACCAATTTGGCCAAATCTTTTTTTAAAATGTTCGTTGAAGTTCAAGGATGGTTTTTACGGCGAGAAAAATTAGAATTATTGCTGGAAAAACCCTAAAAATAGCCCTTTTATTTTTCCCATACAAATGATTTGTAACTAAAACGTAGTCAATTTGAGCTTTATTGCTATGGTATAAAGTTCATATTAAATTACAAGCACTCACTGTTGTCTAAGCAATGTAGGTGTGTTCCTAACGTCAAAGATCATATCTATCAAAACAATGTGCGTGTGTGCGTTGGAGCACAGAATACATAGTTGGAGGAGTTTAATGTCGCGTTCCGAAACTCGCGTTTCTTTTGTATTAGTTTCGGCACGCGAGATAAAATGCATCAGTTTCCACGTCATTACATGTATTGCCGGAACATTGATGAAAATACGCTCTGTAGTAGCAAAGCTGTTGGGTCCTAGATAGCTCATTGGTTAGAGCAGTCCCTGGATCGCGAATGGGTTCGAGTCCCATTCCGGGGTACAGGTAGATGGATTCTTCCAGCATTTTTCCTTGAGAATGTTTATATATTTTTTTAATTCGAATAGTTTACTTTTATAATGCTGTTGTGTGTAATGTGTTTTTATGATCATAAAAATCTCTTTTTTCTATATTTAATACTATTACTATTAATACATTGCAATAATAATTATGATTCACATGATTAACAATAAAGCGATTACTTACTTTTAAATCCTTATATAATTATTTTATGTTTTATTTAATTATTTTTTATTCACAACGCCCTATCACCAGTGTGACGGTTCTGTTCAGGAGAATTTTTTTAAATACGTAGGCAAAAAAACTGCCACATTACAAATCTTTTTGACAGGACGAAGTCTGTCGGGTCAGCTAGTTATAAAAATAAATTTTAATATATTGAGGGAAGTGTGAGTAGATTGACAATATAAGAAAAACACGACGCTATTGAAAAAAAAAGTCTTCAGTAATTTTATTTAATTGTAATATTCTAAGAACAATAATAAAAATCCCAATCACTTAAGAAAACAATTACCATTATAAAGATCCTACTTATTTCCCGAAAACCGGGTTTAAAGGTCAAGCGGTGCGCATGCGCATGTAAACTAACCACTCGTTATCTACAAGCAGTCGCATCGTAGTCATCATGGCGTGCGGTCGTGTGTTGACCAACATATTAATTTTAGTAATATCATGCTCATTAGTGCACGCGACTGTGTTTACCAGATGTCATTTGACCCGCGAGCTGCTGAAGTTAAACTTTTCAAGGACTTTTATTAGTAACTGTGAGTGTTTCGTGTTATTATGTAATTAATGTATGTTGTTAACAAATATATGCTTAACAATGTCGGTGAGTATATTCATAAGAAAGTTTAATTTAACCAACTCTTAAGGATTATATCTAATAAAGACATTAATGAAATGAAATATTGGGTATTTCATATCGTAGAATTTATATGCAATTCTTACAACGACATAATATTTAGTGCACACTGTTAAAGATGAATAAGAATTTATTCAATGCTCACATAGCAACTATTAAAGCGAAGAAAATATTACATACATATTTACGGCAGAGTTAATAATATAGTATGTGTCGAAGTTGCAATTATTCATAGTTAAGCAACTATGTATTTGTGTTATGGACATATGTACACATATCCTATTAATATTATAAAGGCGAAAGTTTGTAAGTATGGATGTATGGATGTTTGTTACTCTTTCACGAAAAAACTACTGGACGGATTTGGATAAAACTTTACAGCAATATAGGTTATACATCAGAATAACACATAGGGTACTTTTTACTGGGAAAACTTCTCACTCCCACGGGATACCGACTTCCACGCGGACGAAGTCGCGGGCGTCCACTAGTGAAACAATAAAAACACCACATACTTTCAGATTGAAGACAATAGGACATATGTACACATATGAAACATTAAAAACACCACACACTTTCAGATTGAAGACAATAATGTGTAAGTAGAGCTTCAAAATCCATTTTGTTATGGAAACAGGAACTCTTAAAAAATATCAGAACTTTAAATGTGAATTTCAATTATAAACTATCCGGTTTTCCATTTTGAAATAAAGTCACGTGGGGCGCACTTTCATTTGAAATCTTTCGTTATTATTATTTCTTTTATAATGATACAAAAAAGAGGTAAGATTTGATTGGTATGTTTTGCGTTGAATAGAGATTGCGGATGTGATTGTGAATGTGACATTTGCGTCAACTAAACTCAACACCTTTTCCGCAGGTTTGGACATATTTATGTAGCTAAGCATTTCTCCATTGTATTATATTCTAATTATTACCCTATTACCCAAGCATTTTATAGACGAATCAGTGTCTGTCAACGGTTTCCCATAATATTAAATGTCTGACAATGAATAACGAGATTGTTATCAATATTCTGAAGATATATAAAAACCAGGCTTTACAATTTGGTAAAAATAGGCTAATTAGTGTCTGTCAAGATGGTAAATGTCTGGGTAATGAATTATGTGATTTTTATCAATATTCTGAAGGAAATAGAAAAAATCTTTACTGCCGTCTATCTGCCGCGATCACGATAACCTAATTTCAGATGATCGCTACGTTCATAACGGTGGTGGTAGAAGACAAATTTTCATCTTTTATAAAATGACGAGGGTCTTTCTCCAGAAAACAATAAAAGAAATGGAAGAAACTTTAGACAGAGTGGGTAGTTTTAGGTAGTCTCGGTATTTCGTCTTGTATTCAAAGTGACATTTGGGGTTGGTACAGATCTTTCCAGAAAAATAAGAAACTAACTGTTTTCTCGCGATTTCGCAGCATAAGCACAGCATCTAATAGGTGAAAAAATTTTAAAATTGGTTCAGTAGTTTTGGAGCCTGTTCCCTCAATGCAAACAATTAGGTAGTTCCTCTTTAGAGTTTATATAACTCGCTATTCGGACATTTACCCGCGCGTACAATTTCTATCATAGTATTTCTTAAAATAAATTGTCCACAATTTTGAGCTTATAGAGTCTTAAAAATTAATGTAAATGAGTGCTTCTGGATATTTGTATAGGACCATATTTTTATTTCATTTGTATTTGTACCGACTTTCAAAATTATTTTTTTATTTTACAGCTTAATGGACCGAGGTGAATGAATTTTATCGAAATCTAATCAGCAGTTTTCCTTTTATAATAAAACGTAATACACTTTTCACCAACTATCACCCAAATATTTAGTTGGTTTTGGTGAGAAATGGTCCTTTCCAACTAAAAAACAAAAGGTTGCGTATTTGGAATTCATTCAAATTTCGAACGGTGAATTTTCTTTGTTCTGGGATTATGTATATTATTTATGAAAGTAGATATATCAATCGGTTTCTTCTTGAATTGTGAACCAATATCTATCAAACTAGCTGTTTCCTTGCGACTTTTTCTGCGTTAATTATAGCCTATGTCCAACGCGTATTAAGTAGCTTCCCATAGATGAAAGACTTCCACAAATCGGTCTTATAGTTTCGGAGCCTATCCAATGCAAACTAACAAGAAAATAAATCATTCCTCATAATATGAGTGTTGAATTATTGGAAAAATTATGCTGAACAAATAAACAAAATCTTGTTTTCTAAGACGTTCACTATGCTTAATATTTATATTTATATGGATATTTAATATTCTTTTGTGTTACCTATTATTTGAACATATCGGGTTGGCACAAAAGTAATGAGACACTTGGTTTAAGTTTTTACTTTTTTATTATTATTACAATAAAAAAAGTTTAGTTAATGATGTAATTACCATTAGTATCTAAGACTTCTTGCCAACGATCCGGCAAAGTTTGGATGCCTTTTGCCCAGAACTCTGATGGCTGTGCCTCGAAAAAGTTGTTCAACTCCGCCTCTACGTCAGAGAAATCATTAAATTGTTTACCCCGCAAATGCTGTTTCAGGGCTCTAAACAAATGATAGTCTGATGGGGCGAGGTCTGGGGAATAAGGTGAGTGGGGTATCGTCTCCCAGCCCAAGTTCTCCAACTGCCGGCGAACCACAGATGCGACGTGAGGTCGAGCGTTATCGTGCAGTAAAACTACATTGACTCGTCTATCGTCGTTTTTTCTTGATAGCGGCAGATAATTTGGTAAGCTGGGTTGAATATTTGTCAGCGTTTATAGTTTCATTGTGTAATAGCTCATAAAACAGTATGCCTTGCGCATCCCAGAAACAGCAAAGCAGAATTTTTCGGCGGTTCTTTTGACTCGGCTTCGGTTGAGTTGGTGGCGTTTCTTCTCGAGGCAGCCAAAAAGCACGACGTGTATCGTTCTCGTAATAAATCCATGATCCATCTCCAGTAACCAGATCTGACAAAAACTCTTTACGTCGGGGTCGCAGCAAAAGTGACTGACAGATAGCGACACGGACAGCACGACTGGCGTCTGTAAGGATGTGCGGTACCCACCGAGCCAAAAACTTTTCGATAACCAAGCTCATGCAAATGGTGTTCCACAGCGTGGTGACTGCATTTAAGTGCTTCCGCTAATTAACTAGTGGTAGCATCCGGATTCAACTGCAGTTCGCGGCGCAAATCGTCATCATTCACTGCGGGTGGTCGCCCTGAGCGTGGCTGACTTTCAAGGCTCCTGTCTCCTGATTTAAAACGGTCAAACCATCGGGACACCGTCGCATGGCTTGTACTTCCAGCGCCTAATGCATTGTTGATATTGTCAGCCGCAGCCCGCGCACTGTGGCCTAACAAGTACTCGTATAAGTATAGTGTTCGAACTTGTCGCTCGTCCATTTTTCTTCAAACTGACTAAACAAATCGCGAGCGCGGCTTTATATACCGTACACCAGAAGTACCTAGAATGTTCTACAACATTTCTAGAATATTATTGAAAAAATTGATTTTAAAAGGAAATGTTATAGATTTTTCTAGTGTGTCTCATTACTTTTGTGCCAACCCAATATATCAATATCACTAAAAAGCATGACTTTTAAATAAATAATATTTACCTCAAAAGCTAGTTATTCAAGAAAATGCTGTTGAAGTCGGGCTCCTATCATTTAATTAATAATCTACAGAAGCTCGAACTCCGCCGATTTCAATTGCATTTTCGTGAATAATTGGCTTTAAATATAAATATATATTTTTAAGTTTGAAGTCGGCTCTGTTTTTTTCAAGTTTTATTTATGTAGGTATCTACTTTGTAATCCCTTTCTAAACAAACTATAAATGGAGATAAGATGATAACATTAATAAGTTATAAGATTTCATTTTATCTTATAGCTTATAAAGTATTACTTTATTTCTAAGAAACTGGTGGATTTTTATGAAATATGTATTACATTTTTTGACGAAACTACAAAAATAGATCTATTAAAAGATCTCTTTCAATCGCTTACTTTATTAGAAAAGTCTTTCCTTGTGTAACGATTTTTATATATGTTCATAGTATGTTTTCCGGAAATAACTACATTAGAAAATATTACAGTATACAGTTAGAATTACGATTTCAAAATATTTTGGCTATTAACTTGTCTAAATTGTTTTATTTCTGTTTGTTTGCTTTATTTATTTGTATCTATCAAGACAATATGGCTACATTGCTGTACGAGGATAAACCTAAATAAAAAACAACTTTTAAAGGGCTTTTTTGAAGGTTTCAATTTTTTTTAAACGATTCGAAGTTAAAACAGGTACTTAATTATTAAGAGACAAGGAATCAAATGCTTAGATTATATCAGATATAATGTAGGTGCCCACGCCTTTGCCTAGATCCGCGACAACAGAAAAAGTTCAAAATAATAGAACCGACTTCAAACTTTAAATTATCTGAATATAAATCCGGCTTGAAAACGGAACTCAGACCTGGGACTTAATAGGGTAGTTTCGGTACAAAACAAAACTAAAAATTACATCGTAATAAACAAGGAGATTCTGATTTTGAGAGTTTAAATCGCACGATTATTTTATTATTTTAAAATTAAAAGTAGTGAATTTTGAGCGGGTGAGCAATATCCGCCATTGTGTGACATCAGATTAGTCTTAAAGATATGCCTATTAATTATAAATAACATTGCTAGATGGCGCTCTTACTATTTTATTTTATTATATTTGGGAAACAAACAATATTTATAATAAATACAATTGAAAATTTTTAAAATAACACATTAATCAGTAAAGTTTCCACTAATAGTTCTTACAATATACATGTCACTTTGCACATTAAAAAAATCTTTTTATTTCGTGATTACGTGGCGTTGCTCTTGTTTTATCGACATATTTTAATATTCTACTCTAGG